GGTAAACTGTTAGCTAAGACCAAATTTCGAGAGTCGAGTTATGAAATGTTACCAGAACTTTTAATGGACTGCATTCAGTTAGTTCTATGCAAAACTGCGTCATTTCATGCAGAAATACAATATTAAATCTTAGCACACATCGCATTCGCAGTTTGCGTTTATCTAGGGAATTATGTGAAGTAATTTTGAAATGTTATAATTTAGGAAGTTACTGGAAGTTGTTAGTGAAAATTCCCCGCAGTATTGCCAGTTTTATCTATTAGACTGGTCGGATTTATATTCAGTGTATCTACCGAGCATTTAAGTTTAAACAGGTATTTAGTTTATTAAACTTTTCACCCTCGTTTCACTAAGCCCCATGTTTCAATTACGTAGATATGTTTTGACTGAATATTTAGTTGGTAGGTAATTATTTTAATTTAAATTCTGAAATGTGTTTCGTTTGACTGGGATCTAAAAATGTAATTACACAAATGGAAATTGCAAAGCTTAAATTATTTACTGATGTACAATGAATTGATGTAGTTGTTGATTAAATTACATTGTTATGACATGCATTGTACTGAATCATAATAGGCAAAAACTAATAAAATTATATAGCCTAAGTAGACTGTATTACGTAGAGAGTGGAGTACCTAACATTTAATCCTACCAGCTCGGTATATGAAGCAACAATGCAAAATTTACACAAGCTAGTAGCAAAGCGAAACTGGTTGAAATTAGAATTGGTTTTCTTAATCGGCTGAGGTGGGAGCCTCGCTCGCTTCAAGCCTGTCGCTTCCGAAGCTCGGCTGTTTTCAATATACCTCCAAATTGCTCCATTAAAACTTTTCTAACTGCCTTCAAACCGAATCGTTAACGCTTCGCCTAATACTGAATGTTGGACAATGACAGGAATATAGTCAATGAATATCGCATTATTGTATCTTCAAAAAGCCTTTGAGACGGCGACGACGTGGAGTGTTACTTTTTCGATGACATTTTATTTTAAGGAAAAAACAATTTATTCTTTTAGTAAAAGGTTTCAGTATGGTATGAGTAATAATTATGATAATATGATCACTTACATATAAACAAAACCGATTAATTTAATAGTTTTTGTTCGTGCACCGCGGTGCTCTCGGCTGTATGCAATACAAAATAGCTCCATATTTTTACAAGAACCCAAGAAAACTTCTTAAAGCTGTATAATCATACTCTACACGTACAAGTGGTAAAGTTAAACCAGTATTTGGCATACTTTCAAACTTGCACTGTCTGCCACGCGCTGTGTCTGTTTTCCACTTTTTGTATTCCGATTAAAACATGCAGTCGCTCTTTCCATTCCACCTCTATTCATGTATGCGATGCACTTGAACGAATTTCACAGGAAGGTGTGTGGTAAACAGCACCCGGGAGCGAACGTCATCGTGCTTAAAATAGAAGAATACTACCTATCGTAAATATCGGCTGCAGTTCCAAGGAGACTGTTCAATAAAACAGAAACTACAGCGGAGGAAATAATGAAAGTGTAAACCTGAATTTTGTTGCATGCTCGATGCAGTGCAGTATTGGTGTTCGGAAATGAAACTCTTTGACTGTATCATTTCGCTATTCAAAGAGCATAAAAATTCTAAGAAAAGTTGGCTCACATATAAAAGGCTCAGCACTAATGTTTGTATAAATCGTACTTACCTACCTGGGCTGCCTCGGCATCCAGAACGTTAGGTGTTTTGAATGCGAGGCCAAATTGACTCCATTAAAAGTTTTGAAAGCGCTCGTAGCTTAGATAATTTACTGTGAGAGTTATGCCGTCTATAAAAGCATACGTGGGTACTGAAAACTAATGAATTTATGTTTGTGTTTATATTTTCGACGGTACTTAACTTTGTTAAGTCGAAGCTTAATGTTTTATGTATAATAGGCAAAGTAACAGCTACTTACGTACCTCTACCTGTCAGTTTCATATTTGTTTGAAAATTAACCTGTTAAATACATACATACATAACTTCACGCCTGTCTCCCATGGGGTTAGGCAGAGACTATGCAACGCCAATTATTACGATTCCTCACACCTCTTTCACTTCATCAACAGTCATCAATCTTTTCATGCATGCTCGTCGTTTAAGGGTACTTTTAATACTTTTAACCTATTAAATACTGCCTAATAAATATCATAAGTGCAGATACAACTTAAAATAATCTACCTACTCGAATGATTGTCGTAGAGGAAGCTTATGGGTACTCAAACTTTATATCCAATCGCTTAAATGGCGTTTGTGTCTCCACTCAACGAATATCTGCTTAAGAGAGGATATTGCTGGAGAATATAGTATAATAGGTTCTTCCTATAAACCTACCTATAGAGATTTGAAACTTAATGATATTTCTCAAAGCTAAGTGAAAAGTATGGTACACTAGATTGCTTGTTCGCTTTATCCCAATATTAAAGAGATATCCTAAAGTATTCCAAATCTATCAAATTTTGCTTTATATACAGTCATTTTTGCCTCTTACTTTCTTTCTCTAATTTCGAATGACATTGTGACAAACTTAGTAAAACAGTCAAAATGCTGAAAGGTTTATCAAGATTGGTCTTCATAATATCTACACGTAGGTTTCTATCTACATGTATTTATATTTTATCGTGAACAAACTTTTCCTTTGAAATTGTGGTGATCTCACAGGGGACGAGACCCCATAATTGATAAGAGAGTATAGGGACACAGGACGCAGTAATTAGGGAGCGGGGAAGCAATTATGACTTTAATAGGAGTAGGTACGATGCTCGTAGACTACGTTTGCTCCTTAATACTGTTATATGTTGCTTTGTTGAACGTTAAATTTGATACAATCGAACAATCAGTTCTATTGTTTATGCGTCGGGCTATGCATATTTTGAAGTTCATTTACCTACTACGTTATGTACAATTGATGGGTATGATTGTTACTCTTTGATTGCTTGTACATTATGTAAGTGTGAATATTAGGAAAAGGAGCGGGCTGGAGACAATTGGAACTTTCTATTTTCATAATTTTCATTCGGTGCTAATAGATAATCTAGACTTTTGCACAGTTTATAGCATAGGTAAGCAACAGACTCGCCCCATACTACGCAGAAGTCACAATAAAACTGTAACTATCGCAGAGAACCTAATGAGTTACCAGGGCTCCGACTCGACGTGCGGGAGAAGGAACAGGGTGGTTTTTAGTCAGTAAGAGTCTGACACTCCCTCCCGCCTCACCCAGGCGGGAAGAGCCATTCGATGATATTCCCCCCTTAAAAAAATAAATAGGTAAATAAAACTGTAACTCCGGTAGGTAAGTAATATTTTCTACATTATACTTCGGATAGTATGTAAGGCATAATGTTATGAAGTTAACTGTCTTACATACTTATTTAAAGATTTTTGTAACACACTGATAGTTAGATACTTTATAACAATGACGCTTAACCGAGTTCAAGCGTTGTAAGTAAGCTCTTTGTATACTTCTTAAAAGCTGCATAAAAACTGGATAGAGGGTTCTGGTGACCAAGTAAAAGAAGCGATCAGGAACACGATGGCAATTAACTACTGTAATTGAACGGCGCACTCGATCGCGAGTGACATTTGAACAGCTGTGGCTTAGCCCTGCTCGGTTAAACGGGACAGTTTGCTATGAAATAAACTAAAGTTTAACTTATTTTAGTTAAAACTAAGGAAACTGAGAACTATTTTTTTCAAATCTACCTAGTTTCTTTACAGGTTATTTTATAGTCTAAAAATATCCAAATATGTACCTGACGCTGTGACCCACAGCAGCGCATATTTACAAAGCCAAAGCTCCATCGCTATGGCTTTACGCTATGCAAATAACACTACCCCGGTTGAATAAAGTAACGAAATCCAGTGGCACACTGCTTTTTAATTTTGTACCTTAGGTGCCTAGGTAAGTAGATCTTCTTATAAGTAAGTCCGTTCTTCGACCGATAAGAAACAGTAATGATACCATAAATTAATGATATTAATCACTGCTTCGAAATACATAAATTAAAAGAATTTATAGTATGTGATCCGTCTGCTCTTTTGCCTCTTATTGCATAAAAAAATTACAAATATTAAATTTAACATTATACAACCTACTCGCTAGTCGCAATCAGTGAGTTATAAATATGTAAGCTTAGGTGCATGTTACAATGAATTGTAATTTTTGTCAATAGGTACATGTTTTTCAGGTTATTTAGAGTAATATCGGGGTAATAAATAAAGAAAATAGTATGACTGCAAACTGGGCTTCTCACAATTTTTTTTTTGTATTAAGTTTGTCAGGTACTTTTGCAGAATTGGGTTCCTTACTAATATTATAAATCGGAAAGTGAGTTTGTTTGTTTGTTCCGTTTTCACGCCGTAAATACTAAATCGATTGCTTTGAATTTTTGCAAACGTAAAGTTAGAAATCCGGATTAAATAATAGGGTACTTTTTATATCGGAAAAATTTGATATTCCCGAGAGAAAACAAAAGTGTTGGTACAGATAGCGCTGTGTGTATTGATATGTCACATACTTAGGTTATTTTTCATGCTTTTGTGACGCGAGCGAAGCCGCGGGTAAAAGCTAGTACAAAATAACACAGTAATATAATCAATAAAAAAATTGCATCTGCAAAGAGATCTTTCCTGGTTTTGTAAATATTAATGTTGCAACATAATTATTATTAAAATTCAGAATTATCGAAAATGTTCGTTAATACACCAATGCTTAGAATTATATTATAGCGCTTTATCTCTTAATTCCTGAAATTAAAAATGTCTAAAATATAAATGATAAAACGCCCAGGTTGCAAATTAAAGTTGTAATTTGACGTTGGCAGTTTTTTGACAACTGACAGCTTAAAAATTAATGACGTTTGTCTTTACTGTTTGGGCGGCAGGTTATGTTGTGTGATTGTGCCGGGAATTCCTCTTTCGTATCTTATCCGATTGTCAATAATCATATAGCTGATTTTATTAAAATCCAAAGGGTACATTAGAGTATTCGCCATGACGTACGGTAAATTTCATAGGTTCTTTTTAAGAACAGTGGCGAGTCAAGGTGCTGTATCAATGAGCGATGCTCAAGAAATCGTACAGAAATTCAACGGTGAGTAATTAAAACTACGTATTTTTCAGTGTCCCAGGCTAAAACGTTCATTGGTATAACCATACTTATCTTTTGTGTTGACCAAGCAATTGAAGCAATACTTCTTGGTAAGGCTACGCAAGGATGCTCACTGCCCAAGCAGCCACTATTTGCATGTTCTAATTAAAATATAATTTGTATTAATCACAGCATACTGTATTCTGCATTTTACTTATAAAGGTTCATATCTTTATAGCATATACTCATACCTTTAAGTATACATTTTGAAGACTTCAGAAGATGCACTTCAATACTCTAACTACTACAATCTTCTCTATTAACATTGAATTATTAACTTCGGTTATCTGTAAGTGATAAAAGCACTTATAAGTAACATCATTGTGTGTCATCGGCATCTTAAATTTAGCATAATAAACTTCTGTTTATTACTCAAAATATGTAGAAGTGCGCTTATTTAATTTATTTCATGACTAGTCATAATCAATATTAATATATTTTGTAAATATTCCAGATGAAGAAGAAACATCAGTGCAGGATGTGGTAAAATCAATCAATGATGAAATTAGACAATTTCAACAAGAGATAAAAATAACTAGCGATGAGGTCACAAATGAAAAAGTTATTGTTTTCTTGTCTCTGGGCTACGATGAAGCAACCAAAGCCCAGAATATATTTTCTGCAAATGAATTAGAATATTTCAGAGTTCTCCTTGAACAGATTATGACCACAGAATCAAGACAGATTACAGGAATGAATGCTATTAATTTAGCAAGTAGTATGAAATCAACTTTTACTAAATCTGATGCACAAGTGAGTATTTATTTTTAAATAAACTTCTTTTTGATTCCGGAAACTATGGCAGTGGGCACATAATTGTACCTACCACCTAGTTCTGACATGAGTGCTTATCCTTGAAGCTAATCCCAATTAAATGTCAATATCAACACTACAACCCTAATCTTATTAACTACTCCATACTATGATACTATGGTATATAAAGCCAAGCTCATAACCATGTAGTTCATTCAATATTCATCCAATACAGATGCACAATGGACACAAGAGTATGAATTTTCATAATATGAATGCAGATTAATAACATTTAAAAGTAAGTCAGGTATGTTAAGAGCCTTTGGTAATAAAGGTTAAGTACTCCTACTGCTATAGTTACACAAAGTTGCCTGACTCCGTTTTATTACTCAGCTATCCAGTTGAACATAATAATTTGAATTTCAGCTAAGAATGAAGGAAACATTATTCACAGGTTCAGGGATCCAATAGAATTTGTTCATTAATTTTACATTATAACTATTTCAGAGAATGCTGAATATTTGGCATAGAATGAAGTACTTGGACAAGGATCAAAACAACTATGCTTTAGGTGTGAGAGCAGTGCACGAGTTTGAAGGTTATATTCGTACGAACATGCCAGATGCTGTTGAACAATGTTGTCTGTGCAAACAGACAGTTTTTAGAGTAAGTTCCTAGTGTAGCTATATCTTGATCATTTTTAATTGTGCCAGGGCCTAACTAAATCCTATATTGATTAAGTTTAGGCAAAAAACACGTCATTTGATGTCCGCCTTAATTAAAGACATAGGAGAGAAGCATGTCTTGGTTACATTGCATTTTTTTTATGGCATAAGCCGGTAAACGTACAGACGGATCACGTGATGTTAAGCAATCTGCGTCGCCCATGGACACCTGGAACTCCAGAGGCGTTACAAGTGCTTTACCAGCCTTTTGGGGAATTAGTAGTTTGAGGATCGTTGGAGATTCAGGAATTGAGGAGATTGGGGAAGGGGAGGGTAATTGGGCCTCCGGTAACCTGACTCATACGAAGAAACACAACGCATGCGTTGCTTCACGTCGGTTTTCTGTGAGGCCGTGGTATCACTCCGGTCGTGCCGGCCCATTCGTGCCGAAGCATGGCTCTCCCACACTTAGAGAGATTATTCTGGAAGAGCCAGCGGAAAAGAATGGGTGTCCAGCCATCTGCTCTTACTAATTACCCAAAGTTTGTTACCCTTAGTTTCGTACAGCCATAACTACTGAAATTGGTCAACTCCAGGCTGCATTTTTTATTGTCCATTGTTACATTGTTTTCACACAATCAAACCCACAAAATTATGTAACTAAAGAATTGTGTTGTGAACATGAATGAATAAGAGCAACCTATGAAGTTTCTTGCTCGTTCTTCTACATAGGAATGTACACTTTGGAATGAGCATGAGTTTTAATTATTTTTTGTTGACATTCAAAAGTGCCTTACTGGTCTAATTAAAAGAAATGATTTTGACTTTGACTAAATCTTACAATACATATATTCAGTACAAATTCAACAGCAGAATAATTAAATTTTTTCTTGTAAAACTGTGTAATACATGTGTAACTCATTTAATAAATAGTTCAATTACAACTATTGCTTCTAACTTGATTTCACAATCAAGTTTGATAGTTAACCATAATTTCAATGTTGGATGTTGATATTGTTATGTTACAGAATTTACCAGAAGTGTTATTATATATTGTTATTTAGCACCTGTCTGTTTTAACAACGCCTAGAATCTAGATATATCTGCTATGTCTGGTACATAAAGAATTGATAATGTAATTTAAATGGACTATCTGCTAGATAAGTTTATCAGGTAGGTACTTATACACGGTGTAAACGAAATGTTCCCGAAAAACTGTCAAAAAATACCTTTTATGATTTTATCATTTTTTGTTTTTGTGTTATTCATGCAAGATTAGCCTTGATTAAATACATAAAAGAAATATTTGATTCCTTACTTTTATGAATAAGAACTAGTTTTTCACCATTAGCTGTCGACGTTTTTGAGAGCGTTCCGTTTACCCTGTATAGAGGTAGTGAAACAAGTGTTAATAAAAGGAGGCCCATAACCTAGCTTACAGTGTAGATTGTCACAGGTTGCCGTTGTTTGAAGGGGTAGGCAGAGCTGCAAGTTCGGCATTTAAACTGTCTAACACCGCGAGGTCACCAGTGACCGCAACCTATTGTTCTTTAATTGTGTCTATAATGACGGTACTCAAAGGGTTAATGTCACTGTACAATGTAAAACCCACTTATCACTATTTATGGTATGAGTCCCATATAATAGGGGATGAGCCTATTGCTATATACTGGGCACATTTCCAGGCTCCGTGTGTAGTTATTGTTATTAACAAAATTGAATGGTATGATTCCAGGGTTACAATTGTCCAGCGTGTGCATTGGCCATTCACAACCGATGTCTGATGGGTTACCTAGAGAAGATACAAAAATGGCCCTGCTGCAAGGTTGATTTCGACCAATCCCAGCTTGATCGACTCACTAGCGCTGGGTAAGTATTTTGATTATAAACCTTTTTTAAATGACATAAACAACTTAGTAGTACTTTAAAATTATTGTTATTGAAACATTTGTTTTTTAAATTTTGCCCCATACTAGTCTATTCTCCTCTATCATGGGTGCCGTTACAAACATTCAATTTCACACGCACATGACACCCCGAAACAACAAATTGTGGATCTCACACAGAGTCGTCCCGTGCGGAATCGTATCCGTTACACGTTGCGTGGCAGTCAGTTGCCAGTCACCGCGCCAACTGCAGTTATTTTGGTCTGCGGCATAATTATTATTATTCTTCCATATGCTATGGGATTTTTCAAATCATGCAATGCAAAGTTTTTGTTCTTAAGTTTAACTATTGATATGATATGGTAAATGTTAAGTTTTATTAATGCTCTTGTATTGTTTTTTTTAATTAAACACTACCCAAGGATTTTATCTTTTATGGTAAGTGTATTTACATATACTTTCACATACATAACATAAAGAATTATTTCAAACATATTATGTTGCGAAACATCCAGTTATTCAAAACTATAAACAGCTAGTGAAAATGTGAACCTACATAATCATGGTGTCTTTGTTAATTATTCAATTAATCAACAGTAAAACACATAACTTCACGCCTTTTATCCCCGAAGGGGTTGGCAGAGGTGCACATTTACGGCTCTTAATGCCACTGTACAATGCAACACCCACTTTTTACTATTTATGTTTTGAGTGTCGTGTTATAGTATAGGGGGTGAGCCTATTACAATGTAGAAAATGTAACGGAATATACCGGAAATTTGCCTGGTGTGTACTGGGCACATTTCTAGACTCCGTGCTAATAGTTACTTAGAATTAAAAAACAAAAACCATGAATACTTTGCTCGACCCGGAAATCAACCGAGATCCTTTGCTCGGCAATCGCACTTACGACCACTCAGCCAGCGAGGCAGTTACCAGATAAGTTCCACCCCTTTAACCTGTGATATGCCGGATATGCCGGGACATAGATCTATGCGAGACAAATGTATTTTCTATTGTGTCTTCTCTCATATACTCAAGGGGTTAATCCAAAAATTACACGATAAGGCAAAAACGTTCACTATCATTCTAATACTAATCCTTCAACAGTTCCAGATTATTATCGCAGTCGCAAGCGAATACAACACAAGACACAGAGGAACAAAGCATCGAGGTACAACCCACCCAAACGCAGCAGTCAGAAAGCATGGAGTTAGACATAACACAGGAAGTTATTCCAGAGATATCACAAAGAGTAACTAGAAAGAGAAAGCGACTAAATTGAACATTTCAATGACGTTTTAATTTGGTAAGGTTATCTTTTTGTTCTGTAGTTTGGTAGTTTTGTTGTTATTAACCAGAAAAATAAAATTTCTTGTATTTGTGTTAGTTGCCATGTACAATTTTAGGGTCTGTGTGCTTGTTATTGAATTTTCTACTGTATTGTTACAGTTTTAAAGTTATATTTTTATTTGTCCCATAAAATGCCTCGGCATCTGATGTCACTAATGAAGAAGGCTCAATACAAATAAGTTTTTATATTTCTGGTTGGTTTTTAGTATATATGTAATTTAGATTACTTACTTATTTTTTTGTAATTGTAATAATATTTTTAGAGTAATTATTTGTTTTTTCATTGATTTGTATCTTAGTTATATCTCGATAAACAATACTGAGAATTGGACAGCTTAAGGTAGGTCCTTGTTACACTAAGAATTAAGTTTGGAGTTAAGTTTATGGACAATGTAATTATTGTTTTTGTTACATCATGATTGATATGATGTAGATAATTGAATAATATCGAGTTAGAAATGCAAACAAGTACTCTTTATACATATTTTATAATATTGTATGTCTAATATCTTTAGTTGTATTGAATTTGTATTAAAAAAAGACCAATTAAAATCCTTCTAATTCAGCGAGCGTGATTGATACGTTCCGTTATTTCTGATTATCCTACTGGGAGACAGATGTGATAAATTTAGGTATTTTTGTATCTATTCCAAAGACTCACAAGTGATATTTAAGTAAATAAGTAATTACATATTATCTATGTATTATCCACACTTCCCAGTACCCCAGCGGTCACAGGTGACCGCTCTCGACTTATTACATTATAGAACTTATGTCCGATCTTTAGAGACTAATTTTGTATGAACAAATGTTGCTACGTATGATTTTTGTAATTAAGTAAAATAAACATAATATTTTCCATTATAAGTAATTTATTTTATTTATTTCTATGTAAATACCTAAACATAGATATACCGAACCTAAAATATTTGTATTAATATAACATATCATAATGTACTACTTATAGAACAGAAGTATGCAAACAATTATCGACCTTACGGTAAACGTTTCAAGTTCGCATAAAACTAACAATTAAAACAAGTATATTTCTAAACTAAATAGCTAAATATACGTTTTGGACCTTCCTTTGAACTATTTTGGCTGATTTTGGATAGTAATCGAGGAGGTACTTCCATTGGTCCAACTTGAGATACACGATGTCGACGACAGTTCGAGCTCTGAAGGAAAAATGGTGGACCACGCCCACAAATAAACCCTAAAAATAAAATTAAACAGTATAATAGAAAAGCTGATGTTTCCAGCCATATCAAAGGTTGTACTTTGTTTGAAAGAGTTTTTATTCTGGCCGACTTTTTCGTTATCAAATCAACTATATTGGTATGGATGGACATTCCATCTTACTATTTATTTGAGTTTTTAATGGTACTTTCATGTGATTTTAAAGATTTTAGCAGTTCGTTATATTCATCTGCCACCAATTGATTCTAGTTAAGACTAGCCTATGTCTCGTTTTAAATCTTGAACATCAATTTTTTACAATAACTATCGTGATACTTACCAAATTATCTAAAAAACTGCGGGTGACACACGTGAATATATTGAGAAAAGCTCGATTAGTATCGAGCCACAGAGAGGCTCTTCTTCATGAGCAGCGTAGGAGTTTTTTTAGTTAATCTATTTTGTTACCTGAGCAATCCCAAAACTGTCTTCTGGACCCAAAACATCATAAATTGACTCGGTCAAGTTCGGGTGCACTGTGAGCACTTCGACCTGAGGATGACAATAACAAATGATTCATTGAAATAGTAACATCGTGATCTATTCGGCTGCATAATAATGATTAATGTAAGTGACATATTGGCGGTGATATCATAAATGTAATGGTCAGTTCATGTTGATACAACTTGCGGTCAGTCTTAATAAGTTACTCCTATTATGTAAATGCCCCATACACATGCACGAAGCGCTTCGCATCAAACTTCCTTGTGCGTACTGCTTTGCCAGAGTCTGTATTTCATGAAGGGGATAACCTGGGCGTTTTCAAGGCCCGAGTGAATAAGTTGCTTATGGATCGACGTGCTACATCGTAGACCAAATCATCGCTTACCACCAGGCGAGATAGTGGTCAAACGTCAATCCCATCTAATATTAAAAAAAACGCCCTAATACTGAAAAGCTACTCAATTTTAAGTTGTACTATATCGTGCCATCTGTTTCATTTTACAAAAAATATGACTACATATTTTAAAAATATGACAGAACTATACTTAAGTGGGATTTAAAATTGAGTAACGTCTCAGTATTCGGGCATTGGAGTTTTAGAAGTTTGAATTGTGGTATATTTTGCTTGGAGTTAATATACAAATTCTGTCTCTAATAGATAAATCTGCCTAATCAAGTTAAGATAGATTAGGTTACTGAGACTGTTTTCTTTTGCTGATGGGTTTGTTAAAAAGGTACAATTGCTTACAATACTTCGATTTGTATACTTTCGATTTTTAAAGTTATATGGAAAAGAAATACTAATAATAGATTAACATTTTGACATTTCATAGAACATTTTTTTAATGTAGTTCATGCCTTCAAAATGCCATATTGAGTACTTAAACTAAGTTAGCTACTGTCGTGTCTTTAAGTTTACTCATCGCTTATGAGATCTAGTCCTAAGAATGACGTCATAAGCTTACCTGTCCTCTGTGTATGAAGTAGATGCATTGGTCTGAGTCACCGCACTGCACGATATAGTTACCAGGAAAGAAGACACAATGTTTCATCCACATGACAAGCATACGTCGAAAATCGTCATCAGTTTTGCTAAATATGACTGATTCTCGTATGTGGGATCCGTAGACTGCTTGCATTACTTGACAACGGAGTCGGAATGGTAGCTTGTAGACTAGAGCTGGCATCTGTAGTGCGATAATGTTTTTTTAATGACCAAAAATCTCTGTATCGATGGAATTTTTTTGGAAACTTAACTCGGACTGAATCGACATAGGTTTTTGCTTTCGGTCGTTAGTTGTCGATACTGCTGGGAGCGTGGGGTCTTAATCGCCTAATTAGAGGTCATAGCTATAAGTAACCTATAGTTTGTGGCTCCTGAAACCCTTGAGTTAGTTATAAACGGCTTCGTTGATCATTGGTATAGTTGTATAGTATAGCCGCGGCGCTCCTTTTAGAACCCCTTATAAACACAACTGCTGAACATGAGCTTCCCGACGCGATTGCGGATAGACTAGAGTTGTCTCTGGCAAGGGTCCCTATTTAATGTAGTTTCGGAATAACGTTCGGCTTATAGCGATAATGTCGCTGTTTAAACCATTATACAATGTGATTCGCTATAGTCACTACTATGTATCCAAAAAAGTCTCTAGAATCTTTTGGGTATCTTTATTTAAACAAATTTTCTAATTAGCACTAGGGTGAACTCATCTAACTTCGTGACAAAGGCATTTGAGTAATAAAATACCATTAAATTATTTATTAATTGAATTCAGTCTCCGCATGAGTTTTAATCAGTCTTTTATGAGGAATATTAGCACAAATAATCAGATTTATTTTCTAGAAACCTAAGAGTTCTACCAAATTTACTAAACCGAATTATTAGGCGAGTCACAGAATTAGATGAGTTCACCCTACTATAGATTCTGATTTACACGATTAGCAATCGTTGGAAGTAGGCGTTCGTCTCAGAAAATAGCTATATGACCAATTAAAGAATGAGAGGTTGCAACGGGTCAATGAATGCGAATTTCGGTAATGAGACCAAATAGATTAAAAAATAATGGCTTTGACGCAAACATTTTATGAGGAAGTTGTAAAGTTTTCCAAGGAACAGCTGAAGATATTCTGGGTTCATCAGTTAGGTCTTAGTACTAAATATAAAGATATTTTTGCGTAGGTTCCTTCTTCGGTACATTGAACTGAGTAATATATGATCATTCTACTGCATGTTAATGTAAACGCAAGTCCGAGAGTAAAAATATCTCGCTTCAGTTTCTAGTATTGAAATACTTTTTTCTAGTTAGTCACAATTCTTTTTAGTGTTCCTTTAACTTATTGTAACAGAGAGTATCTGTTATTCTTTTGCGTTTGTTAAGTATTATAATTTTGATTGTGTATCAATAAATATTACCGTTGTTTTGCACTTAGCAATATTAAATTTGTGGACTGTTTGGTCACGGCATCCTTGCTCATCCTGCGATGTCGTAAGAGTTGACTGTTTCATTTTATTTATACCTTAACGCAAATACATATACGTGTAGGTATAAGTAAAAATTTCAATTATAATAACAGTTTTCCTGCAACTGAACTTAAAGAATACTACCTCTAAATAAATGTAGAAGTTGTGTGTTGCAATGTGCCAATTTACCTGATTGAAATTTCGACTTTGTGTCAAAAGTATAATGTTGAAAATCGATTAAGCAAATTTGACGAAAAACAGTAGGTATGTCGACCTACTGCCCATTGTACAATACATGTTATCAATTTCCAATACAGAGCTATTCACAATCAATAAAAGAGATGTCACAGCTTACGTTGTTCGCCAAATTGGCACCAAAACTGTTGGGCGTATGTCACCTTTAAACAAATGAACGTCGTTGCCAAACAATCTGTTTTAGTATTGGCTATTGTAGGCCCTTCCCATTTAATTGATATGTAGGTATTTCACCTACAATATTTTTTCCTACTCGAAAGTTACTAATGAGTAAGTTTACATCATAATTTTTATTCTTCGAAACAGACAGCTTCGATGCTCGTTTCATGTGACATATGAGTCGATTATAAATGTGATTCAATTGTTACATAAGCATTGAGACTTTGAAATGAAAACGGAAAATCCACAAATACGTAAGTACTCTGGGTACTCTAGTAGGTACAATCCGGGAACCCATATAGCGCTTTTTGGTAGCCGTTACGAAATAATTCGACACTATGTTTCCACACTTATTCATTCTAGTAACACTTTTTGGTCGCTGAGTGTACTTAGTTCCGTCGCTACGACTAAAAATGGGGAACAGTCGACACAGTAACATTTGGTTTTAAAGTTACGTTGTTGTGTGGTAACATTGTTCTTAGTCTGCAACCACTTCTCAGAAATCATTCGTTCGTTCATTCGTTTTCGTTCTAGTCTATGTTCTGTTATTGACAAGTTAAAAAATAATAAGAAGAAAACATCAGCCATCACTGTTTATGAAGGTAAGTTTTTATTCATATTTTAATTAGCTTATTTACTTAAAATCTACATGGGAAATGAATTTCATTATGTTATTTGTTCATATAGTTTGAAATTTTTAATGCGCCACCATAAAATTGTAATTTAACCTGTTAGTATGATATAAACATCATAGTTTTTATAAACTATTAATAGTTTTACTTACAAGTTTTTACATTCCCAAAGCTTGGAAGCTTTTGCTGTAATATATTTAATAGTAACTATATATTATGGAACCAAAAATGAACTACAAAATAGTTCAATAATTAAAAACCCTAATTTTATTTAGAGAAAATATTCTAGACACAACTGGTTTGGAAGTTACTAGACTATGTCGACATATGTCGACGTGAAACCAGAAGTAGTTACAAAGTTACCGAATTAACAAAATGGTTTATTGCTTCCAGTGATTCTCAAACGTTTGGACAGGCCTGCATAATATCAAATTATGTTTAGTATAGTACTAACTAAAGAGGGCTCGTCCCACCTTATATCGGTTGTGCCTAGTACATGGGTACTGGGGAACAACAAAGATACTATCCTGTTTTGGCCAAGGACGAGAAAAAACAGCGACCTGAACTATTAAGGAGAGATGAAAATAGTGTACCTTCAGAGAATTGGAGAAAATTAAAATGTGTCGTGAAACTACAAGGCATAGCTACTTTTGCTGAAGGAATTAAATTAGAGGAACTGTATTCAAATTTTGAGGATACTGAAGATGAGGAGAGGTAAGTTTTACGACGTGTTTTATTCGACAATAAATCGACGAAGTGACGCGCCCCACTACCGCATTTTAAAATCCACTGTCCTGTGTACGTACAATGCAGTAGTGGGGCGCGTCACTTCAGAAGTATAGACTGGAAGAGCTCATAACTCGTTGAAAACAGCTTTTTAAGTATTTGGTTTAAGGTTTATTTTTGTACGTGCACTGCGCTTTCAAGCATTCTTAATGACAAAAGTAGCTCTCCGAGCCGGTCTGTGTGTATGGACCCTTAGCAGACACTATAGAAATGTTATTATTATGTACCTATGAAGTGCCATGCGACATGTAAAGGATTATATATCCATATCTGTTTTTTTTTTTCGTTTGGCTATCTCATGAAATATCATTAAATTATTATTATTTTACAGATACCATAAAAATCGTGAAAACAAAAGAAAACATCCGGCTGAAAAGTCAATTGTGGAAGATTTACAAAATTATAATATTGATTTTGAAATGATGGACAATAAAGAAACTAAAAAAGATAATGATAATGTTACAATGAACGATATGAACAAAACAAACTATAATGAATACAACTCAAATAATATTTCAATCACGCCAGTACCAGTTATAACACTATTGATGATACCGTAGCGATTGAAACTGGTGCTTCAAAAATAATAGCAACGAATGAGAATTTAACAACAATACCCGAAACTGAGAGTCAGACTGGTGAAACTTTAATCAGTTTGAGGTTGATTGAATTCAATCAAATCATAACAGAAAACAGTGGGCTACAAGCAGAAAACAAAATTCTCAAAGAATCTAATCTAAAGTTCCAAAATCGTAAGTGATCCCATTCGACGTACTTCACCGGTTTTTTTTGCTTGTGGGTGCGTTTAGAAAAAAAATATTAATATATTATATTTTTTAGTTAAAGAAGAAACTGACAGAGGCTTTAAGGCATTACAAGTACAACTGGACAAATTATATGATATTCTGAAACATAAACAATCTTATATTGATACTATTAGTACTGCTGGTACTTCCGTATCAACAAATTTTGATGAGGAAATAGCTCAGAGGAACATTCAATTTCCAATTAATTCTATAAAAAACTTAGAATTACTAGAAGATCAACTCATTGACACGAATTTCGAAAAAGTTTTGGTAAAGATATTATTATTTTAATACTATAAAATATTTATCACGGTTACAATGGGTATAATATTTGTTCTTATTAATATTTCAGGTCAAAAAATTTTCTAGAATATGCGGTACGAGTGGAATGTTAAAAATATCAAAGATTGGGTTACAGTTAACAAGATGTTTATTCACCGACGAACTCCTTAACCAGTTAACCTGGAAAGGAATTAAAGGCTGTACTAAAGTACCCTTTATGAACTTCATCAAAACAAGAAATCTGTTTTTTAAAATTATACATTTGGCTGATAAGTGTTGCTCTGCAAAGGATTCTGACGTATTTTTGCAGAACAGTGCGATAAAACATAGTGGCCAGCGCATGAAGCGAAATTCGTAAGTGCAAACAACTACTTATTTTCTTTTTATTTACATCTGCATTATGTTACTCCTACAAAGGAGTGTTTAAGTGGTGGCTACTGGGTTTACACACTGTATATTGGTATCTTTATAAATTACACAGCATAAAATAATGTTTTAAAACGTCCTGTTTTGCTTTTAGCTCTGCAATGAAAATAATCAACCCAAAAAAAAACAAAATTGAAATTGAAAAGAAGACTTCTACTGAGAATGAGGATCCTTCATCAAACAATTTAGAAACTATAATAATAAATACTCCAGATAAAGAAATTCATGAAGAAGAGGCAAATGAATTATTGCGGGATGGGTTTCGTGGGTTAGATGATAAGGAAAACAAAATCGGTATGTTACTTAGAGAATAACGCCATTAATTTCATTTAATTATCTTTAATGAACATAAATTAACTCTAGTCATTGTACATTTCAACAGATGATACGCCAGACACAAAAAATCGTTCTATTAAAGCACCGAAAACAGTGACAGTACTCTCTGATGTAAAAATAAGCAACAAGACGACCGATTCAAAACATGAGACTAAAATGATGAATGTAAGTTCTTACGATCTACGTCAAGTTTTCGAACAAAATGAGGAGTGCAACAAAATTACGAACAGTGATTAAACTAATTATTTGTTTAAAATTTTATTGATATAATTTATAAGTAGATCAGTTAAAGTTTAAATGGTGAAATGTACCTATTTATCTGACAGTTTGTAATTGTTTTGAAAAGTTTTAATTGACGTTTTTTTTTTATATTTTTGATAATTTGTGTTAATTTTTTAAAAAGATTTATCTGATTGTTTGAGAGTCATATTATTATTATTGGTTTTATTGTTTTTATTTAAATTATTATGTTTTCGGCTTACTTACGTAATAATTTGACGAGGAACTCGACTAGTTTCAAGCCATGCTAGAGGCTCATATTCATGAGCGGCGCGGCGCCTGTCGCGCTGCTACTGAGTAGCGAGTCGAGTAGCAGCGCGACAGTCGCCGCGTCGGTCACAAAATGCTGCTCTAGTCGAGTTCCTCGTCAAATAATTACGTGAGTAAGCCGAAAACATAATAATTTATTTAGTATGCCTCACGAAAGTTACAATACAAATATTGTTTTTATTTGTTTATTTTCTCTCCAAATGTTGTCAATACTGGAATAAACACCATTTGAGAGTTGGAAACCATAGATGTAAGTTTACATTTCACATCATTTAGATTGTATTTCTTTAATTCTTCAAGTTCGTAAGGAAGTAATGTTGCATAAATATTTATATGGGAAGAATTAAATGGTCGCTCAAAAAAATTACATTTGTTTTTTATATTCCTTCCAACGATTTGTATGTTTCCTTGATCAAAAGTTGCAAATTTCATTTCTACGATATTATTGTTGACAGTTAAAAACCATTTATCTTTAATGTATTTTGAAAGCTGGTAATTCTCACTCATTTTTACAGTTGTAAATACTTTTTCACCCGTATCCAACAAACTTTCATATTTGACATGAGCATTCATCCGTTTGGATTTGTGGCCCTTGATGTTTAGCTTTGACAATTCCTGTATGCGATTTGCTACTTGCTCCAAGGGTTGGTTGCCTTTTCGTAAAAGGTTTTTAATTCGAAACAACATACTTTCAAATGGATATGCACTTAAAGAAGGTAGAGCCGAACCTTGAGACATCATGTACAATATGACAAAGATTATGAATATTACTGCTCACAGAATCATGACCGTAAATTTCTGCGAATTTTTCGATGTAGTCAACAAAAAGTTTTTCAGCTATGTGACGGTAAGATACATAAACGTCAGAATAACAAATAGTGGTGGCACAGAACAATGTTAAAAAATGTTGATATACTTCACATGATAAGTGTTCTTTTAGCACTACTGGACCAAAGTATAACAAGAAGTTTTTAAATTCAGCACCTTTCCAAAAGTGAAGGGTATCTAATTCTCTCAGTCTTCCTTGATGTATTTCAGATGGAGTAGTTGATTTTATTTCCATAAGTTTTCTTGAAACGTCCTGTATTTCCCTTGCCGACCACTTTGTTCGGAAATTAAAACTGCCGTTAGTCCATCCTAGTAAACATCTCTTCATAACACCCAAATCTAACAAATGAAGAGCATCTGCGATCGTAAAATCGTTAACAAGATCTATAGGTAAATCTTCGATTGGACTTTTTTCTTTATGGTGATCAGGATCTAATCGATTTCTAAATGAATGGTCAGTACGCAAAGCCATGTCCGTTCTGGGAAAACTCATATGCCGACCTTTTCTATCGTATTCTCCGATTACTGTACATTTCATGCATCCGTGGTAACTATTAAACCCCACAGTACCTAAAATGAAAAAATATCACGAAATAATATACATTATATTCGAATTGCACGGAGGTACGGTAAACTACTTACATTACCAAAATCCATATTAATAGTATAAATGCGAAAGTAGCTCTGTCTTTCTCAGTTACCTACCTTTTCTCATTTATTTAGTTATTTGGCATTATTGTGTACAGCAGAAGAACATTATGTAAGTAGGTGTAGGTAGTTTTATTAAATAGATATTATTTATAAATGTATATCCATATTTAATTTAGCACTCACCTTTTATAAAGCATCTCGCAGGGGTGTCACATATGAAGCAACGAATTCTGATCGGAACGATTTGCCTTTGAATGAGTAATCCACCTTGAAGTAACTTGATGAGCTCGTTTACAAATGGACGCAAAAATAATTCCAAACACGGTTTTGTGCTTCCGAAAAATATTGCTATAACTAATGGAGCAACATCCATACCGTCTATTTTACACAAAATTGGCCAAAATTCATTTTTTGTGCTATTGGCTACTGGCAAGCCGTCTATGTTAAAAGACAAAAATATGCACGTCGGTAACTCTGAGATCATTTGAGAGAAAACTTCTTTCAAACAATTCTCTATGCCATTATACCAATATTTTCCATTTCCCATTGGTATTATGTTATTAAATTTTGGCGTTTTTAATAAACTTCTACTGTCTTTTGGTAAGATTTTTTTTAAATCCATGTTTGAATTGTCTCTCAATATAGTAAGTAATTCCTTTAAGGCATTTTGAGGAATCTGGTACCTTAATGCCCATTGCTGAATTTGGTCTTTTACATTTATTGAATGTATTTCGCTGTCAGAATCAGACGATTCTTCAATTTCTGCTGCAGAACTATGGTATCCAGCCCCTCACTGACATCACATATATTATGAGAGGTCACAACTGCATCTAATTTCACGTTTGACACTTCGGAAGTTGGTCCACCGGCACTAGGCTGTTTGGAACTAAACTGTACAGCATCAGGCATTACAGAACGATTTTCTTGAATTTTATATGATGAAAACGTTGCATTAGGTATATGGTCTGAAAAATATTAATTTTGAATTTTAAGGCTGACCTCAACTTAAGTAAAAGTTATTAATTAACATGCCCACCAAAATTTTATTTCAAACAATTTAATTTTAAAACAAAAATTATGTACTTACTTGGAGATTGATATTTTGGAACCAATAATTTGTTAACTTTTCTGTAGAAAGTCGATGTGAGACGGAATCTTTTCGGTTCTTTACTCATTTTCAACTGCAATCATTTGACCACTTCTCGAATCAGTTTTAGAAACAGTGACTTTTAATTCACATTTCAGTAATATATTGTTCAGTAATAATGACGTAACATTACGACACTTCGTGTAAATTTAAATTTTAAGTAATTATTCTAGTAGCATGGTGACCACGCCGCTACCACACATTTTTACTCGATTGTACACATGTTACAAACTTAACACGAAGTGTTTAAAAATAAGTCTACACAAATGTTTACGTTACATGTGAACACAAAGACTACTTCAACTTACTGAAATGTTTTTCGGTCAAATTGTGTACGAACTATTACTACACATAGAGACCACACCCCACACAGTCACCATGTTTCGTAACAATTACGAAACTGTTGCGACTTGTTACATCTCTAACATATCTGCGACCAAAAAGCGCTATATGGGAACTGTACCTTATTCTTATCTATATATAAAAGAAAGTCGTGTTAGTTACACCACTTATAACTCAAGAACGGCGGAATAGATTTGGCTGAAAATTGGTAGGGAGGTAGCTTAGAGCCAGGAGACCGATTTTTTTTTTTACTTTTTACCGAAAATCGGGGACGGGAAAAAATGGGATTACGCGTACGAAGTCGCGGGCAGAAGCTAGCATTATATAAAAATATGTTTTACATTGCCATTGGAAAATGATTCTTATAAAAAGTGAAAATTGACCTGTTTTCCTTGTTGTCTGTTCCATAGCTCGCGCACGTAGTCCCACATTTTGCTCATTTGGTGAACACTTAGATCCATATCTCGCAAACCGTCTCTCAGTTCGTTTATATCGTAATCATATGCTATGCGTGATGACGAATGAGCTGTGATCATTGCCGACATTTCTGATATGAGAAGCCCTGAAATATGGTTTGAGAAAGTTATAGGTATAGATAGTCTTCCCTCTTTTTGAGGGATGTATAAAATTAAGGGTGATTATTATTGTTACATACATACTACACGCCAGTCTCCCATGGTTACGATTGGTTATTATTGTTTATTTACCAGCTTGAATATTTCACAGGAAATTATCAAAAATTCTCTTTTAACAGAGTAGTTGGCAATAAAAAAGAGAAAAGATAGAGTAGGTAATGAAAACTCCTCCAAACGAATAAGATAAAAGTATCATGTGGTTTCATAAAAATCTTGAGGAAAATAGATAAAAAATATTCTGTTTCTCGAGAATAAGTTACGTACCCGTACAGAACTTTATAACAATGATCACAATAATAGTTTCGATGACTTCAAAACTGTTTTGTGATGACACGTCTCCTGTGCCTGTTATTGTTAGCAAGTTTATCATGTACCATAAAGCAGCTACGTATAGTGCAAAGAAATTGCCCTGAGAATACAAAGGCAGAAAATAGAAAAGGATTATAAGAAACTAGCGGCCTGTTCCAGCTTCGCATGGGTGCAATATGCTTGTATTATACCTACATTATAAAGCTTCCTTAAGAATCTATCTATTTAGAAAAACCGCATCAAAATCCATTGCGTAGTTTTAAAGGTCTAAGCATACCTACATAGGGACAGACAGACGGCGGATAGCGACTTTGTTACCGCTTATGTTAAAATAAGTGAAAAATTAGAACATTAATATACTTAGGTGTACATCTATGAACATTTTATATCTAAGTTTGGTTTTTTCATTTAAGAAAAGAGTACATACTCGTCATGATAGTGATGCCTCGATACCCAAAAAAGTCAATTCGCTATATCTCATGATTTTCATCCCCTCTCGTAACGAGTCTATAAATTATCTACGAAGAGAATCGACTACCTTTTATCGTCTAATACAACAGACTAACCTCGGAATATTTCGCTCGCAAATTGAGAGCTTCCTTTGACATCCAGTTAGCCGATGTGCAGTGCACAGGAGTTAGACAGGATAGTTTGAAAAACAGGCAAGCGTTGACGTGCGATAGTATTGATGCCCATATAGCGATGGTTCTGAAATTGTTAAAATTTATGAAATGACGTTAGGCTACACTTTCTTTTATTTCAATCCAATTGGCTTACTAAAGACCTCATTAATTATATTTTAGTCAGCCCAGCAACCGAATCATTTTTCGCGCTATACTTTGTACCTAGATTAATATGCTAGCTAGAATTACAGAGTTTATAACACTAATCCCGTCCACCAGTTGGTTTGTATTGCAGGAAGAATAGCTGAATTAAAAATAAAACATGATACTTACGTCAGTTTAAACAATAAATTCGCTGAACCAATGCTCGTTTTTCTATGTGTTCTGGACGTAAATAAATACGAAATTCTAGTTAGCTGAGGCGATCGTGAATAGCAGAACAAAGCCATTTTCATTTTCGGGGACAGTGATAAAGCGAATACTAAGTAGCATATTAAGAAGTTTGCTAGAAAGTCTCTTCTTCGAAGGTATATTTTGGAGAAATACCTGTAAAACATGTGTATATACAAATTATAATTCATAGACTCTCTTACTTTAGTACAATGTGAATGAATGTAGAAAGACATACGTAAAACAAATAAAAAGAGTAATTGTTATTCAAAAGTCCTTACATTTTCCTAACTTTCTTCGGGCTCAAAACATAATCTCCGTATCTATTCATGTAACCAGAATGGATGTCCAGAAAAAGTTTAAATAGAAACAGGATGTCGAATATGACGCAAACGTGGAAAAAATATGGTACTGAGAGGAACGCCATTTGGTATACCAGCAACATAAAATCCACGTACGCCAAGAAGAGAATGAGATATTCTGGAAATAAATATATTTTGATCAGTATTATATTTTATTTTGGGTAAGCAAAACCATTTATCACTTACCCATAAAAGTGACCAATGCGCTGTCCGGGACGATGCTGCTACGAAACCATCTGTACAAAGTAATGATTAAGTGATTTTGAAGAAAAAAATCTTATGTAGAAATACCTATATCGATTTCTACCTATTCTTTATAGGAATAAAGGTAAAAACATAAAGATACAACCACGTCTTGTCTGTAATATGTAACCGAATATTGGAAACAAATCTGGTCTAAGTAGGTACCTACGAAAACCTACAAAACAAGGATAGAAAAAATCCCTTATGAGCCTATGCTAGTAAAAAATCTGTTGATACCCATTATGCCTAAGGCAAGTACTAAATTTCATTAGGTATTAACCTATGTGGCTTGAAAAATAATAGTGAAGCTGGAACGTAATTTATGTTTGCTGATGTGATGGATTTGGAACCGTGCGATTCTGCAATACTCTTTTCTGGACTCTGAAAAGTTGAATAAGTATGTTATAAAGGTAAATATTTATATCGACGATGTATTACAGTTCATACTCGAGTTACTTGTGGCTGAGTATCATATGTACCTCCTAGTTTTACATCCGAAATATAAAATAAATATTTACCTCTACATAAAGTTCAGGATCGACCTCACATTCATCTTCTTGCTCTTCTCCAGTTTCGTACGACAAAGGAAAGTTCGTTATCTGCTGAACAGTAAACTCTAAGTATTGGCAGAAGTTCTATTCCTATATATACAGGGTGTTTCTTGTATGGTCGTCGTAATTATTTAAAGCCACGTGGTCACGTAATCTTAAAAAAACAACGAATATCTCGAAAACTACAAAAAATCGTAGAACATACATGGGGGTTAAATCGATACGTATGGAGCCCTGCTGCCAGCTAGTGGCGGGTTGATACCTTACAAGATCCACCTTGTATATCTATGACAAACATTGTTGGAATCATATTTACATCAGTGCTGCTGTTCCTTGCAGACATTATTGTTGGCAAAACATAGTCTTTCACTGCTGATTCAACAGATTCCTTCACCTTTTGTAGTACTGAAGGATAGCTCTGTAAACATAAAGTTCACTCCATAATCGCTTAATTCTATGTATATCTACCGAAAATGATTACATCATCGTTGTGGTACTAGCAAGTACCTTCAACAGTGCGTAGAAGTCTCGCCCTTGAATACAAAGCAAATCAATGTTTCGACTTGCGATCACATTTGACATTGTCATATACTTTGTTGCTCCTCTTATATTACCAAATATTCCTCCAGGACCCATACATGCTTCCACTTCATTTATATTCGACATGATGTCAACCTGTTTACGATTAAATTTCAGTTCATCTGTTAATGTAATATTTTTTTATTGGGAACGGAACAACCTAACACACAGCGCCACCGACTGTAGGACATTTATGTGTGCATGACGCCTTAACCCTTGCCACGTTGGCCGATTCCAATAAAGCTTACAATGTAATGTAATATTTAAGAACATTGCAATCAGAGTGGATGTAACTCTGGAGAAGTTCAAATAACTAAATATGGCACTCTAGCGTCGTTTTACTAATAAAACACGATTCAAGAGGTCAAGTGCGATTGAAGCTGGATCCTGTGTCAAATGGAGGGAGAGAAATCTATACATTTTATAACATTCAATGGCACTCCGTGTTACCCATATATTATGATCTCTCACTGTTCAGATAATTATGTGTATTAATAATCTCCGATTACGACTTCTCTTTCATTACATTAATAATTAATGTTCTGTGTATAATGTTCTATTAATAATTAGTGTAATTCGAATCTAAAATGTTAATTGAACTTTTAAATGAACACACCTTTCCTCTATAAATAATATACATAGTGTCTATCACTTCATTCGATCTCATAACCATATATCCTTTCTGGAAGTATGATTCTTTCAGTTTCTTTGCGAAAGCTCTAAAGAAGGAATACTCGACGTTTTCAAATAATGGGATTTCTCTTAATGTTTTTTCGTACATGTATAGTACAGCATCTTCGTTTAAATTCGCATGAAGTTTCCCCAGTATTGATTGATGCTGCATGATTAAAGAATTGTTTTATTAACTTTTTGGATAGTTCTTTCAAAGCTTCTACATATCTGCTAATTCAGGCACTGGGTATTGTATAAAAATAATTTACCAATAGACAGAGAAAGTAGTTGGAAGTCTTTATCTCATCATCATCATCAACAGCCTATAAATGCCCACTGCTGAGCAAAGCCTCTTCTCACACGAAGAAGGTTTGAGCATTATTCACCACGCTTGCTCAATGCGGGTTTGCGATCATAAACTTATAATTAGAAATTATAAGCCCAGGTTTCCTCACAATGTTTTCCTTCACCGTTTGTCAGTGGTGTCTGAAAAATCTTAGAAAGTACATATAACTCGGAAAAGTCACATTGGTACTTGCCGTTGGTAGGTTTCGAACCCGCACCCTCATGCATGAGAAGCGGGCGTCTTAAACCTCCGGGCCACCACGACATTCATATATAGTATATAGTCTTTATCTCAATGTTATAAAAATACTTACCGACCAACCACCTGTCCTTTTCCATTGGTACTTCCAGAATTCTAAAACAGTCTTTTTAAGTAAAAACGGTACTTTCTCCCTATTTAAGAACATTTCCAAATGTTTCAGATTCTCTTGAAACTTTGTAACAACTTGATCTGCCATAGCTTTCAATGATGCTATTCTTGCGTATACGTATCTAATAAAAACATTTTGTTCTCTATGTAGGTATGTCTATTCATCATCATTATTGATATTTAGAATAATATCTAAGCTAAACAATTTGTCGCGGAGAACCTAACGGGTAACCGGGGCTCCGGCTCGACGTGCAGGAGAACGAACGGGGTGGTTTTTAGTCAGTAAGAGTCTGACACTCCCTCCCGCCTCACCCAGGCGGGAGCAGTCATTCGATGATTTTCCCCCCCTTAAAAAATATAAAAAAAAGCAAAACAATTTGTCAGTAGGTATCACACAAAACTGATCAGCTCACCCAAAAAATAAGACGCCATGTATGTTCACGCAAATACACAGTACCATATGTTCTATGTTCTGAGGAATGATATCGCCGAAACCAGCTCCTCCAAAACTAGACGCTGTCCAATAATAAGCCAGTAGGAGCACTCTAGATGGTGACATATGATCTTTTTGTATAATTAGTATTCCGTCTATCCAAGATCCTGTATTAATTGTACAAAAAAGTTGAGTACTTTTTGCATAATAATTGCAACTGTTTTTCGGATACACGTATTATTCATATTTTGTATTTAGATTATTAACAATATCAATATAAGAGTCTAACCTTCTAAACAAACCATATTGCCGTCAGGATGAAACGTGGTGTTTAAATAAGGTATTGGTCCTGATATTCTTTTGAGTTTATATTCAAAATCTTCCGCATCATCAGCCTTAACGTATCTACAGGATAAAGTGATTAAAAGGCAAGTGTACAAATTTAGAAAGAATAACGTTATAAGGAGGAAGTGGACCACGCTCATGAAGTATGCCTGAAAAGAAATATAATGAATCGTTAAAATTTCTGGGGTCTAGTACCTAATATTACTAACTTTCTTTAAACCTTTGAGGCTAATGGAAGCATAAGCAATAAACTATACCGCTAAGATGTCGACAGATGCCGATTTTCCTACAGCGTTGTGTCACTGTGACGTATACTGGACACCGCAAATAGGCCCTTCAAAATGAAGGTCAAGAATTTCATTAAGTACCTGCCATTCACTACGACACTGACATCAGACGCCAAAATTATTATTATAAACCTAAGATGGATTAAAGTGATTCATAAATGTTTAAAGACTATCAACTACGAAGAAAAAGTAATAAATGTGCATTTAATGTATGCACTACTTTTTTTTGACGGGGGAAAATCATCCAATGGCTTCTCCCGCCTTGGGTTAGGAGAGGACTACTTATTTTTATGTAAAACAGAAGAGCTATTATTACCCTCCTCAAAGCACCAATAGATTCGGCCCAAGAAGCAGCATACAGTTTGACAATCTGTAGTATGTTGATCATTCTCAACGCACAATGGAACATATGTGCATTGACCATGTGGTCTTCTTCAGAATGATTTTCATTATGCTTGGGAACAAACAGTTTCCAAATAGCATACCAAGGAAAGCAGGTTATAAAGTCCACTGTAAATTGGCCCTGTAAATTAGTTAAAAGTTAATCCTTACTAATATTATAAATCGGAAAGTTTCTTTGTTTGTTCCGATTTCACGCCGTAACTACTAAACCTGGCGCTGTATGTATTGGTATATGTCACATAGGCTACTTTTTATCCTTTCCGCGAGCGAAGCCGCGGGTAAAAGCTAGTACTTATATAATAGTTAATTAAGCACTACTACCGGTTGGCTCTGGCTTTTACTGATACAATTTTCTGTTTTCAAATAAAAAATAATTCACGAAATCGGGCCAGCCATTTTTGTATTTTGCACCTTGCACTCTTTATGGGAGAAACGAGAGCGGTAACTTAAGTACCAGTACGGTTCTAAAAATGAATTGTTTACCTGTAGGTAGTGTTTAGCGGTCATATAGGGATGGTATATCAATTGGTTTTTAGATCCATAATATGCAACGTGTAACATCAAATACATATCTATGTAGCAGATGGTTTCCAAAATTATAAGTGTCACGTTAAATGTTCCAAACAGTGGCGCCATACACACAATCACCTTGAAGTTTTAAGAAAAAGGAAGTTGGTTGTAGTATAAGTATACTGTAATGTATTACAGTGTCGAAATAGACACCCACCTAAGATTGTAAGTGGATGTTCTGTTCAGATTATGTAGGCTGAGGCTAGTTTGTTTAATTGATGGAAGTGTAATATTACACAATTAGGCAGTAGATATTCAGTTGTATTTTACCTCAGTGGTTGTTACCTCGTTGACATAATTATGTATATTTTAAATAGAGGTGTACCATTAGCATAGCGAAGAATATTAGAAAGTATTTCAAACACACTCCTTGTCAGTCAGCCCAATTTATCATGTGCGGTTTTTCACCTAGGTACTAATGCAAATTAAGCGCATTTTAGAATAGGGTGAGTCAAACCGTAAATAGCCATTATGATTAAAGCTAGAATATATTCATATTGTTCATAACAAAACTGCCGTATTTAAACAACTCCATATGTACGGGAGAAAAAATTAAAATGGAATACAAAAACTCGTCTAGACAGTCCTTAACTAGACACTGCAATTTTTAAGGTGTCATAAACAAAACAGAATCTTACAGGTATGAGTAGACATAGTAAAAATGCAGTGGTCATTCGAATGGTCGCCCACACTTTCAAGAATATTCCGTCTGGTCTTATAGCGATAGGCATCAATAAGTATGCTGCTATATTGTTCAGTACATTAAACTGTTTGAAAGATTTCGAATATTTTTGCTTCGATTTCTTATATTCCGCAATGAGGTCTATGAAGGAGTCTGCAATAAGAAGATGAAATTTTCAAAACTGGCATCATACCAAAAGCAATTAACAGTCTCAAAATATGACTTTATTTCGAAAGATTTTATGAGTACTTACTGTTGAAAAATTCTTGTAGTATACTAGTGATTTTTACTTTCTGTTTTTTCTCTGTCAGTCGGTTGTAATGTTGTAAGTAGGAGTCCGTGGTTTGCGTTTTAGCCTGTTCTTCTACATGTTGTAGCTCTTCTGGTTTTAATATTCCTTCATGCTCTTTCATGTCTGGGAATAGACTTAATGCCGATGTGTAAGCGTAATGGTTCACACTAACGAGCTGAAAACACGAACCCAAATGTAATCCTTATAATTTGTCACTGGTCGTTGAACCATGGATTATTTTACACATTAAAGTTTTAATTTATTGTCCTAATATGTTTTTATTCGATTCAAAGATAAAAACAACGTGTGGGAAGAAATTTATACACCTGATTTGATTAACTTGGTACAGATATTAATCAACCAGTATTTCCTTCATTTCCATTTTTATTTGGTCTCCTACTATTTATAAGACATGTGGATGTTGTAAAAGGCGATTCAGGAAAATGAATTACTGTTCCAACCGCCACGACAGATAGGTTTCTTTATGTAAACTGACTAATCCTTTAAGCATCACGGTATTAGAAAAACAAGACAAAATTTACATCGCTGTCTAATACCATAGGTAACTTGGGTTCATCGTAGTGCTTTTTTTTTCATTTTTGTTAGAAAATATTTCATAATTTATTCTTTTATATTCAAAATTATCATGACATGTGTACATTCTTTTTTCTACTTTATAACGGTCACCTTCGTTGCGACAAAGCTCTGGTCGTATAACCTTAAATAAGGTCGGATGGCAGAAAGCGAGCGTGGGAGGACTTCCCACTGCACAGCCCACCTGTAAAAGGTCGCGGGGACCCTAACTTACCTTACAGTGAGTCAATGTAACGACGGTGCTGAGAGTGGGGATTCCGTACAATAGTACCAGTAACCCCACGTGATTGCCAGGGCCTATCACGCGCTCAGAGTTGGACTCTCTCAGTTCATTTGATGTCACTAAACAATAACCGCTCTCTATTATGTACAGCTCTCTTGTCACTGTCCCTCCGTAACATACGATTTCGCCAGGTGGTAAAATGATGTCTCTGGCAGCTGTAAAAATGTTTTAAGTCGTCTCTTATGTAATCTTAATATGAGGGGGCCATATTACTACTTTAGTCTTTGCGATTCGGAAAAATGTTTTATCCTTGACTTCTGAACTGATTAACTTTTATGTCGCCTCTTTCCTTCCGCGCCATTAGTAGTTTAGATGATTGCTCTCAGTTAAAAATATAGTTTGATACTCATTCACGAATGAAATATGGTTCCACCGTATGCATTTAGTATAGGCGCATGGTCTACTTAAAATCATTGTGATGTAACCTTAATATAATAATAATAAAGTTTTTACCCTCAGTCAACGTGTGAATGTAAGCTTTATTTTTCACTTGAAAGAACTTGATAGATGTGAGTGCTTTGAATCTTGCTTGATGCAAGACTTTTTTCCTCAGTTCTGATGGAACTACTGTCTTCTCTAACCAATTATCATCTGTTAATTCGACTCCCTGGTAAATAAGTCGCTTGGCTATAATAACTGTTTCGTTGATTTAGAATTTTAGAATGGAATTAATTATGGATCCGTCGGTACCTAGGCAGTTTGACGAAATCAAATATTTACCGAATTATATTGCCACTGCAATTCGTAGAAAGCCATGATTCGAGATTTGATTGCTGGGTGCATATTGTTTTCATTCATGAATTTGTCTATCGTTATGATAACTTCCAAGAAGGCTGTTTTCGTTCTATAAATTAATCATTTGATTACTTCTAAGGAATTGTGTGTCAATTGCTGTCTGAACTAATGTTAGGGACATTAATTTGCCACAACGAATTGATTCAAAACAATTTTTTGTTAAGTGTTTGCGATGATGTATTAGAATCGTATGTGGGTTGTTACCTTGACCAATGTGTGACAACAGCAGAGAACTCAGAAATACAGTATCCGGATAATAGAACACCGTAGAGACTAAGAAAGGCTATGAAAGCCATGTCGTAGATATCTCCTGGAGTGTAGTCCCCATAACCCACAGAAAGAAAGATAGTAGTTGCAAAATATACAGAAGTTATAAGGGGATACTTAGTCCTGAAAAAAAAAATCAGGCAATCACTTTAAACACTCAGATGATGGAAAATTTAATCATTTTCCACCGCAAAATATGATTTATTTTTGAGCCTGGGTGCCATACAAACGAGGGATCTAAATGCAGTTGGTAACAGAAAACATGGATACTCTATGTACCAAGAGACCATCTGAAATTGTAATTACTGTTGTGTTTGAAATTAAATGAGTCATTAAAATAAATCATTCAGCGGAAAAGTTTATTAGAGAATAAAGTCCATGAATCATTAATCCTTGATTTAAAATAATACATTACATATGTACCATTTCTGTTTCACACAGTACATTTGTATGGTTCACAAAAGTTTAGAAAATTAATGTTGTTTTGATAATTTTTAATATTAGTAGAAATAGTGAAAGTTTCCGTTTAGATATTACCTCACACGTTAATCTTCACACCTACTACACTTTTACCGTATAAGCTCCCGACGCTACTTTCGACAAACTGCTTCATTGCTTCGACAAGTGCGATTGCCGGAGACAAGATTTCATGTCCGGTGTTAGCGGTAGACTTGTATATATTACAATGGAATTCTTAACTAGTAAAAGATGAACTTGGAACACGAATCCAGGTAAAATTTGGAATAAAAGGATGAGTAAAGTATAGAGAAACTTGCTTTGAGATTCTAGCACCGCGTTGTTCGTCATCCCAAATCAGTGCTCTACTAAACCATGAGTTTTCTGAACATCGGTTCACGAAGCATGACTCCATGTATAAAATAACGCCAGACCAGTAACATAATAAGCAGATGTACACGCAATACTTCATTATCTGAAAGAAAAAATAATTTGTACATAATGTGTTTTCAACAAAATAGCTCATCTTTAATATTCGATTTAGTGCCTACAAATAGTTAAACATAATACACACCTTCACAAGTAGCGAGTTCAATAATAATTTTCTTTCCAAGTTCTCAAAAAAACTGGACAGTCTCCATACTAAACATAGTTTAATACCTTTGCACAGGTAAAATAAATGGTCTCTATAGTTATCGTGATATTTCACAGATTGATGAATGGTGACTATGTATTCGAACGGAATTATTGCTACAATGTCAAGATAAAAGCCAAGAGTATTCATTCTATAATTTAATATACTTCTGAAATCTTTTATATGCCTCTTCTTAGTCTTAACCGCAGTTACAGAAGTTATGAAAAGATTGAGTATCAACGACAATGTTATAATTATCTGGGTGTAGAAATAAATTCCAGCTGGAAACGTTCTCTTAAATCCAATAAAGTAAGGATAAATAATACTTATGCAAAAGACTATGCTGAGCATATACAATTCCCAATATTTGACTAGAGGACAGTCAGCTTCTAATATCCATGGAAATTTGGACTTGATACAAGTGAACATAGTCATTTTTTTCTTAACATGTTCCGATATAATGTACAATTCCAAGCAATTTTCATCAAGTTCGTCGTCCTTTGTCAAAGTGTCGACGTCTGATATTCCTGTTGGTGTTATAAAAATAAAAATTTGTTTGATATTTTGGATTAAAATATTCATAAAAACATTGTTCGTATCGTACTGCCAACCTTGAATATATCTCAATTTATCTTTTAAACATTTAATGCTGCTCTTCTTCCGATCTTTAGATGCGTAGATATTTAATGAGAACTCAGCATGTTCCCCTTGCTTCATTTTCTTCATTCGACTCCTGCTGATCCGCTCTTGAATTTCGTGGCGTATTGATTCAACGAGGTCTGGATAAGTGATCATTAGTTTTATGAAATTGGTCTTCTCTAGAACCTGACATTCGACGTATGTCGCTGCTTTTACTGTACATCGTGCTGTGAATATAAAAATTGCCTTTTATAGTTCTTAATTTAAATGACGTAAATAATACAGAATTATATTTACCAGGTATGTTGTAAACTAGGGATATTTCCCCGAAGCAGGTCCCTGTGGCAAATGAAATCATTGGACTTTCATCATCTTCGTCAGACAATAGTTCTAATACGCCACTAGTGACGCATACCTGCAACAGTTATGTAGAAATAAATAAAAGACCTTTATGATAAACAGCTATCTAATTAATATTTTAAATAGATAATATACATGCAACCTTACCATAATAGTCTTGTTCTGGTTATGGCTGTATACAACATCTCCCGGTAAATAAAACTGGTGACTCATGTCTAAAGATAGCCTCCTAAGGAATGCTTCCGGTAGTTTCCTAAATATCAACGAGCTATATAGCGGAACGGCATTTAAGTCGTAGCAGATTTCCATTTGTAAAGGATAAGGAAGAAGTTTCAGTAGTTTAGGTTTGAAAACCCCGGATTTTTGGTACCAAAGATCTTCATAATACCTACAAGAAATCAAAGTATTTTGTAAGACCACCATCAAATAATGAATTAGCATTGAGTTGGGAACAGAAGTGGCTTACCCGATAATACGTTTCGTAGTGTCCGGATCCATTTTAATAAGCCTCAGGTGGTTCTTTATTTTCTTCAATTGTCGTACATACTTCGAACGCCTTGTTGTAATGGTAATGAATTGTGAAGTTAAAGAACCCACAAAAACAACTGTCGTTAGCAGAAATCCGAGTAAAGTTGCTAATATGGCAATGACTCTCTCAGCGGTAGTCACCGGGTATAAATCTCCCAGGGCATTAGTAGTAAGAAACATGACTGACCAATATGTGCAGACATAATACCAATCTAGTGTCACCTCAGTCGGTAAATATATCGCTGCTAAAGACCACGAAGTACGAATTTTGTGTAAATTAAAACATCTATTGGCAAATAAAAACCATACACATGTCCAAGTATGTACAGAAAGAAAGAAAAGTATCAAATACTGCGACAGAAACGTTGTCCATTGATTGCTGCCTGCTTGGGATGATCTATTGTAGAAGTATTCTAAAATTCTATACACCCGCACGGTTGCTACCAAAGGTGCTACCGCATGAAAGTTGAACTGGACGTTTTTATCGTCTAATAAATACAAAAAGGAATACGGAACTGCCAAAATAATATTAAGAGCTACTTTAAATGTTTCTGGTTCGACAAGATTCAAAGTTTTTCTCCATTTCCTAAAGAACTTCAATCCAACAATAATCACAACGTCGAAAGTAAAAATTAAATTGAAACACAATAAAATGACTATGGCACAAAACGGTCTTTCGTTTGATTTATAAAATGTATAAACACAAGTATCTAGAATGTATGCAATGAATAGTGTTGTAAGTATGAATAATTTCCACGCAGGGTTAGAATATATTAACAGAAGTGTTCGTAGTTTGCTGTTAGTGCTAAATTCAGATCGTGTTTCTTGCAATATTGCATAAGTTTTCTGGTTTTTGTTCTTGTCAATCTCAAAGCGCACATTAGGAGCTGCACTTGTAGGAATGCCTGATATTTGGCGAATGTCACTTTGCGTTGCTCTACGTCTGAACTTGTAAATATCAAAACGATCCTGACTTGAGTCGTCGTCAGCTGTAAAAATAAGAAAGCATATTCAATACAGTAGTTCTGCAAAGGGCAAATATGTTGGTATACCTATAAGCAAAATGAAATGAGGAACTTACACATTTTAAATCCACGAGATATGTTTATTTATTCACAGATAAATTGCTTCGGCTGAAATTTTGTCATCAGAATGATTTCAAGTCACCGAATCACAATTTAAAATTTTATGTGTCAAAATAAAATATATTTTATCGTCTAGATGGCTTCAAAAGTCAAAATAAACTAGTAGGCATTTCTATCCCATAGCATTAATTTTAATAGTGACGTTGATTTACGAAGAAAACAGGAAGGGGAAAGAAAGTTTAGTTACCAACAACAAATAATAAAAATATGAGGAACTTAGTATTCCGACAAGGCATTTTTGTGTCATCGATGGTTAAGATCAAAGATGGGAAGCTTGTAGCAAATGGTCACACGATGGTAGGGTGACGCAATGTTTTCCTCGGCGCACAAATCGTAGGCCGAAAGCCGGACATGTAGATATCCAAGACGCAAAGCTGTGCGCACGGCACTCCAACCTACATACATGAACATAAAAATTGTTGCGGACTTGACGTTGTTTTAATTTAATATTGTGCACATGCTGTTTTTTGAAGAAAACACAACATAGGCAACACAGACGTTAACGATGCGTTGTCGATCAATAATTAACTTCAAATATATTTATTGCTAGTCTTTTTATGTGCGTTAATGCTAACGACTTATGTTTACTGTTTTAGACTGCTGTTTTGATTGAATTTTTATGTCGATACGATAAAAAAGTCACTCTGAATTTGTGTTAAATTACGTTAATACTAAAGTAAGCCGTTAAGACACAATGATTTGCCAAGTTTCTATTAGAATATGCAAGAACTCGGAATTGCTTGTAGCATTTGCAATGTAATGTTTTTATTATTGGCGGAGAGTCAGAAACATGATCTCAGTTGAAATACTTAGTATCTTCGTATATCCATGTTCTATAGTGCCTAGATAATTAGAGTCCGAACGAGCTGCCATAGCCGGAGCGACCGCATAATCACGATGCTTTTATGGTAGTCAAGCCCGTGTATCGGTGAAAAATGTTGTCATAAAACGATTTTAAATACTTTTAGCATTTTCCAGTACATTTAATTCACTCTAAGCAGCCTCCTAGTTAGTTTGTTCTGTGGTAGGTATTAATTATTTAAGGAAAATTAGCTTTAAAGACGAAGATGCAACCATCTTCAGTAAAGGTATAAATGTTGCTGCAATGGGCTAAGCGTAATTAATCGTTGAGGCTTAATAATAAATACACCTAACTAGTATATGAGCTTTGGCGAATGATTTTATGGAAAACAATAGATTACTATGTTGGATTTATGGTTATAAGTGTTATTTATCTTTTAATAAGTCCGCTTTAATGTGTGTTATGAAGCAATAACTTTGAATGAGGCAATAATTGCTAACACATTTATTTAGCACGAAGATAAAACTAGGACCCTTCATTTAAGATATATATATGTATGTAATAAACCTTTCAATTCAGACATAATAGTGGAATATGGAGCGTGGAACTTGTGTGCTTAATCCGTTTAATTCGATAGATCCACAAGAACATCGAATAGGGGTCAATTATCCATTTATCCTTTTAACAGAATTGATAAAACGTAACTAACTTGGGTGATTTTAATTGATTGAATGTGCTGGCATTGTTAAAAACGAATTTGAACGGTGATATAAAGTTAAATTTTATCAGGACAATTGGTGTTTAAGAAGATAATTAGAGGTTACCAAAAACTGACTGCTTCTTCTCAGATGTTGTCTGCAATGCTCCTAAGTTGGATGAACTGGATAAGAAAAATTGATTTTATTAGCAAAGTTGGGTGAACACTTCAAGCAAAAATACATAGATACTATAGAAGAAGAAGGCTGAAAGGACCATTTTAAAAGTTACTAATAAACAACTCTGAAACGTGGCTAAATGCTTTTTATTTTCCATGGTATGATGACGTTAGCTAATGTCATATATGTTCATATTAGTAGGTACTTTCATTCTTGTGTGTTTTATTTATGTATGTTCTCTACAAACTAAAATGTCTTAGTAGGTATTTAAATAATCTTAAAGTCACCATTAGTAACAAAAGACTGCGCAAGATAAATAGAAAATGAATGTTTTGGGTAATGCACAAACTTTTATAATTCGGTGGTTGACATGGAAACAAGAAGAGATGGTGAATGTGAATATTTGGAACGGAACATATTCTAAAGATGCATTCAAAATTCTGAACCGTACAAAAATATCAATCAGGAATAGTTATGAAGTAGGTAATTGCAAATCTACCTATTCCTTGATGATGGTAGACAAAGTAAGACTAATTCAAAGTAGGTACTTCAGACAACTGATTTCTGCAGTGTAGAGGTATTTTAATACTTGAACCTTTTTCTAACAAACTTTTCGTTCATCTCACAATAGTAAATTCTGTAAACATTGACTAGAGAAGTTTACTTTCTATTAATTTCAAAAGCAATTGAAGTTTCTCTTACTTATCTACTTGCTTCCTCACATGTACAAACATCATGATCGCAGATACAGTTAAAGGCCATAAAATTATACCAAAAAAGATATTTATTGAGCAATCACAGTCCGTTTATGTTCTTAGCACATTGCGCAACTTTAGTCTTAAATAATATGAAAAACAATTTGCCATTCGCCCACTGTTTCCTTTTATGTAAAAAGAGAAAAAACTCATCTCTAACTTGATGAAATTAATGTGGAGTGTAGGTGTTATAAGGAGGAGCTATTATTACTTCAGTACGTCATTGAGGTGCATAAAGTAAATAAAAAAAATATTTATCTTGTTTGTTTTATTGAATAAAGGTCAAATTGCATTGATATACCTACCTAAACCAAAACTCACATTTGTTGCACATTAATAGCCACACCCATTATAAAATAGATATTTTTCTAACCAAAAAAGATTTCATGGGCATTTATCATATTGAAAAGAAAATATTCTTTGTGAAATAATAGACTACCTTCAGTCTTGATTTGTAATAGGTTTAATAAGTCCTTGAGCTTAATTAGTCGTGACAAATCAACTACCGGAGCTACGATTGAAAAATAATGAATGACGACTGTAGTTTTACGCACCCACAGTCCCATTGTAACCATGGTAGTATAGTAAAAAAATATTTTTACTAAATGTTAGTTTTAAAATGATGCTCAAAACGCTACTAGGTGTGCGTTACTAAAATATCCCATGTAGCCCATGTTTGTGGCAAGCTAAAAAATATGCATTCTGTCACGCCCTCTGCCCTTATTTTCGGTTATCGTTCTTGTGAATGCATCACATCTACGATAGCTCATTTGGTTAAATTTATAAATATGCAATTCAATTAAATAACAATCTGTAAGTAGGTACTTATAAATAATTATAGTTATACAGATACAAATGAACAATACGAGGCATACGTTTAATTTTTTCTATAAAATAATCTAAGCAGAATATGCTTTTTTCTTTAAATTCATCGATAAATTCATTTAAAATTACTAAAACAATACTTGTGCTGCTTCGTCATACGTAAATTGAAATAACATAGTGAATAGTTACGGTCATGTCAACTCATATCATTATAGTTGTAACTGGGTTGGCTAGATGGCGACTGATTCGCATTTATTTTCTGTGGTGCTAGAGCGAGACAAACATACAGCGCTCAGGAGTTAGTGTGAGCGAGAGAACCGTATGTTATTATTACGCCTACACTGTGGACAGAAGTCGCACGCGCTCACAAAAAATCCATTCGACAAGAGCGCAGGCGCAGCGCTGTATTCACCCACAACTTCACTTCGGTCAACTTCGACTAGTGGTGATCGAAACTTCGATGTGTGTGGAAGTGAATTTAACTTTTCTAACATAATCTCACAAAAATAACAATAATCAGTAACTAAAGTACAATTATCTTATTTGATCGTGTTGGAATAAACATTTAACGTGTCGTTAGTTATATAAATAGTATTCATGATGTGTGATAATAACAGTCCTTCGACGCAAAGTATAGCGGACTACTTAGCTCAGTTGCTCAAAGACAGGAAGCAACTGGCTGCGTTCCCGAATGTTTTCATGCACATGGAGCGACTTCTGGATGAAGGTAGGTCAAAATCGTGTTGAACTATTTATAATACATCGGCAGCCGAGAGTACTAGTTCCTATCGTCGATGCTTGTCACCGAGGCGATCATAAATCGGATGCGTCGACAAATGTTACAACGCAAACGATATTAAGTTTATTTTTGTCTTCGCCCCGCCGAGTTATGGTCCAGTGGTGTTTGTAATGCGATCCTACATTTCGAAAAGCGAAGTAAAGCAGACCGTCTGTGCCGATTTGCGGTCAGCGGTCGTTAGATTGTCGCCGACGAAAGAGATCGGTGAAATGTACATGTACTAAACGAGTTTGGTGACTACGCTTATGTGTTTCATTTCACTGTCCACGCAGCTGTTGTAAATAAATCTTCAATTAGCTGAGTTATGATTTTGAGGTTATATTTTAAATGGGGACGCGCGAGATGAAGGATCACAAGCCCTGGGGGTAACCTGTTCGCAGGGCCGTATTCTTGCATTCCGCGCGAGTTGGTGGAATGTCGCCACTCTGTGTAGGTACCGTACGTCCACCATTCTCAGTCATACGAGATTTGTACGTAGCGCGGCGCAGGCGCACCGCTCCTTGTGCGATGTATAGCCTCGTTTTATTACTACACGTAACCAGTCCATGGATACTATGTAGCCCTTATCTTTGCTACTGAGCGCCTGCCGACTACACTCACTTGACGTTTGCAAATAAGTCCCGTAGCGATTTGAATATGTACTGTATTTTAATGATGGTATATTAGTGTTGGTATGTTTCTGACTCACTTGAATAAAGTAAGAATTATGATAAATAAAGTCATGACATGTTTTTTGTGGATACCTACTCAAATTGTTTAAAATTGCTACAAGTTTAGTTTGCTTTTTACATGAATTAGGTATATGTGTAAATACAAGTATCTAACAAAATACTACTGACATGTGCCTCCTAGGTATATAATTTAGTCACCGTTTGTTCTAAGAATTAGTTTCTGTTTTCCTGAATTTGATTAGACTGGATCTATTGCAAATGAATGTCTGCGTTCCACTATGAAATGAAACAAATTTAATAACAAACTGGTTTAAAACGCTACAACTGAGTACTGGTACTTGTAGTTGAGCCCGGTCACTAACATAAGACCCTAATTGATATTAAGAGCCGGCTCATCGGCAGAGCATGTTAAGTTGTCTATGTTGTATTGATAGCAGAAATCTTTCGCTAGTCTACATTGGAGTAATGAATAGAAAGAAATGTAAAGTCTAAATGAGTCCAGAAAACGTATTGTAAGACAACACTACCTACAGCTGTTGTACAAAGGAATATCAAACCAAATTATATATGAAATCTCCAGAATAATCTTCTGACTTCGAAATATAGTCTCCAAAACGTTGAACACATATAATGAGATATATTTCGAAGTAAAACAAATCGTTATTCAACCAATAAACATACTAAGACAGGTAAAGGCAGCGACAGAATTCATTGAAAAGACGATGTGTTACTTTAAAACACATTACATACCCGAGTCACGTCTTACTGCAAAGCAAGGTCTATTCGACCGATACCTCTACATGTCATAATGTCGTAGCCATAACGATTTACTGTTAGCGTTGCCCTCTGGGATTAAAGGGTATGAATACATAGTAAGCAGTACGCAATCTACTACTCATATAAACTAGTACTCCCTTCATTGCTGTGATATGAATTAATATCAATTCTAGACTTTGGAAATTGTGCATGATTTAAATTTAATGACATGTTGATGTATACCAAAAGACTGGGAAGCTGAAGGGTCAGCTACAGTGACAACTACGAGACTTAATCTTTGTTGTGGTAGACTGTTTGTATCTGGTGTGATGATAAATAGAATCCGGTAGCAATCTGTTGAAGAAGCCTTTTTGCATGGATAAAATATGGTAATGAATAAGTTTTTGAAAAGGGTAAAATCATATGCTTTACCATTAGATAATATTGAAACGGAAGATGTTCATTCTCCTAAACGGATCTATACAAGAATTACATTAAGATTATTTATTAAATTAATTTTGCAACTGAACGTATTGCTTCCTATATTGAAACTCACAGATCAATCATAAAAATTTCTTAAATCTTTCCGTTCTGTACTAAGATATTCTGTACAAGAAATATACACAAAATGCTTAGCTAACCAACGAACTGGCACAAACTAACAGTTCTATTTTGAAGAGGTAATGTTCTGAATATAGACGCAAAATATAAAGTAGACAAACAGTTTCTGTTATACTGAATCGTCAGCAGATGTCCTCATGTTCTTGTTGGTCTTATATTGTCCAATGTTTACTCGCATTTAAACGAGCACTTACGAAATAATGTCAGTAGCGCATGAATCTAATAAGATTGGTCTCGGTATGGCCCAAGTGGATTGAAATGTCCCATGTCCAATGCTTTGTGCTAACACGTTTTTATTAAAAATGCCAACAACGGTATTGTACTTAAATTGCGTGGATGTAATTTAAAAACACGTGCCTGACGTTATTCTGCTTGCATCATTCTCGAAAACTTGTTGATTTAACATTTGCCTTAAAAAGTAAGAACTCTCAACTCGAGGGCTGACTCTTTAATTTCGTTTTGATAACATTGGTGAGAATTGAGTCACCCGTAACAGATTGGGAAATTCCGAGTCTTATTCATGGATATTAGCAAGTTTTTACATCTTTGTGTCCCAAATAAGTAACAAGCTACATGGTCCACTATATCAATATTGTTTAAATTTTATGGTTTATTTGACATGTCACGCTGGACTACGGTGGGCACATACGACTTGACGAAAATATCGACGGCAAGCTGACAGCCGACAGGCGTGGCGTATCGCGTTACGCCGAACTAAGAAATTACGACGGCTATTTTCGTTAGACGCTGGAATATTAGGCAAATGAGAAAAATACAATTTCAACATTTATGAAACAAAAAAATATAAAAGTTTTTAACGTCTCCGAAAGAGTGACGATCACAATGATGACTGACAACATGTTACATTCGCTAATGGGTACCTGTAAAATGACAGTGTAAAATAATGCCATGTTTAGCATGTTCAGAATGTTAAACGCCATTAAAGACCGTGTTCCATCTGTTTGAATTTAAAGTTCATCAATAATAATAAGACATGATTTATCAAGATGTAATGGCTGACATTTTATAACACGGAATATTTGATAGTCACAAACAATACCTTTCGACCATTCAATGTTTACATATTGAATAAACTATTTGGCTGTTTGCATTCCATGAAGAACAGTAAGCATCACTAGATAACAATGCGCTAACCAAAGTAAACATACAAATTCGTCAATCAAAACATTAAACAGATATAAACATATAGATTGGACATGTATTGATAGATAAAGGGACATCAATGAAACATCGCTTCATTTTTATCATACCTAACCTGATAGGAACAATATAAGTGGATAATAAAAACAGCAGATTTATAGATAAAATTTTATCAAATATGTTACACACACTTGATTTACAGATTAAACTACGATAAAAGATAAAAACAAGTTTAATAGCCTCAAGCATTGTTCTTATCGGAGAAAATATCAGCAGAGCGTTCTTTGTGAAAAAAAGATAAATTTATGCGTACTAAACGAAGGTACCTACATGTTATAATTATCTGATGTAGCTGCCGCAGAATTATTCAATACAAGTTCCACTGACCCTGTTTAAATGAAATCGAATTACATCGAACGAGTAATACCTGGTACACACTTAATAATGCAATTATTGCGTTTAGATGCGTAGGCGCCACCTAGCTATGAAGCCGCTGCTTGGTTCCGCAACCCTATAGCAAAAGTGAGTCTTAGTTGGGTCATTATAAGGTTGCTTAGTATGCGATTAGGCGGCTGCGCCTACGTCGATGACCAAATGAGGGTAGCCGTGGGTAGCGTGGAGGTGTAGAAGCCAAGGTTGTTCCAGTCGCTTTCTGACACGTTATAACTTGTTGTGGGTTGCTTAATTGCAGAGATTCAAAGCAGTCCTCAATGTTATGCCATACAATCAATTTTGACTGTCAACCGACCTTACCCGAAGGCACCAAATTGGGATGCAAAACAATTATTTTTGCATGATAAAAGTTAATATCACGATCCTCCTCGCCTTATTTAATGATTATTATGAGTATATCATTATTCCAATATATCAAACTATCGAATAACTATTGATATGATTACTAATATGTATTGTTTTAATTGTCATTTCTCATTCATTTGGATAACAGCATAAAAGGAAAACCTATATATGACAAGAACTATCTATAATGAAAAATGTGGCAACGCTTGCTTTCTTGCTTCCTTTGTATGAGGTACTTTAGAATATGTTACAGAAAGCAAATATTGACACGCGACTCATTATCGCGTCGACCTCGATAAGGCTACACTGCATCTCTGTAGAAAACTGGATCATACGAGACGTCTATTCTTCGTTCGTTCCCACGACACTGCCGCTGCGTATCTACGCTATAATATCTAAACCAACGTGATCGTTCTGCTAATGAGAGATATTTTTCTAAGGCCGTGACAATGTACCTACAATACACTGTACTTATGTAGGTACTACTAGTAAGTACTACATAACCGCTACATACGTGCCGCAGCTGTGTCATTATTTTTTGTAGACACTACAAAATTCTTTTCCCGTAAACCGGGAATGTTTGATTCATTTTGAATGATAGTTTTAAAAGGGCGGCACTTTGGAATCAACTATGACATCTCTTAGGAATGTTAATAAAAATTGTAGGGCTATCATACTTAGTTAATACTATTTGATGCACAAAGAGAAGAATGTGTGGGCTATGCGTGAGTACTGTAATTTGAAATGAAAATCGATCGCTTCAGAATGCTGAGAGAACCAGTTCTGTGGGCGGAAGACATCGAGGCCTACGTGGAACTTCGAACAGTCCTTCAAATATTACTTTTACATTCGGACTCCATAATATAACCATTACACCATTCATTCTCCTACGCAGGTCACATGATTTATGGAATCTACGTTTAGAAATGTTGTTTTCATAATTTCAAAATAGAAAGTAGCTCTACTTAGCAAGAATTATGGCCATAAATCAAAATTGGCATCATCGTTTACTATAAATCGATTAATTTGGCTACAATTAGATACTAGTTCTGTATCACTTCGAGTCTCGATTCTGGCACACCTGAGATGTGCGACAACTCAATCTAAACATAATTCAAGTTTATGTGCTCTCTCTAAGCAACCACTTAGCATACGTGAATATTCAGCAACTCTGTAACACGAATAGAAATAAGACGGATTGCTAACTGGTAGGTACCTAAACAAAAAGGTCGGAGTCAAAGCGTGGGAGCTGACAGCCCACGGACAGAGGTAACTTGGGTGGACCTGCTTTGTTTAATTGTGGCCCTCAACGCCTACGATATCACCAGATACTTGACAATTCAGCGTTATATAACATATCGAGTATTTGAAAACGTGACGCGATTCTGACAAAGTAACTAGATTTTGCAGACAGATTTGCACAATTTCGGACTGGTTCCTTAGTCCAACTTAAATATCATTAGTTAAAATAAATACTAGTTATTGAGCAAAAATAACTTCCCCCGAACCTTCACACAATCCGGCGGATGTCTTTTTATCTCTTTCAAACATAAAAATGTGGGTGTGTTATGAGAACTGGAACTCATTGTTCAAGACGGAGATTTATTAAAGATATTATATTTTAGCAATTGCTACAGATACGACTATCTGCCTAGCAGATTTATTGAAAAAAGGAAGTGAGAAGATGTTATGAGAATGCAACACTTAGGTGTTATGTAAACAAAAACAGGCTATCATGTCTATTGAACTCTCAAAATATGCAAACAAGTCCTCATCAAATGTCAGATTCTTGATTATTTATTTAACAAAATATTTTAGTTTACTTCCTTGTCAGATAACATAACTACCTAAATGCTAAATTTTGACGTGTCTGGCCATGTTACTTGTCAAAGTACAAAAGCCAAATGATATACTGATTTGCGTGACCTTACAAAGTTCCTTTGTGCAGCATTTTACTAAGTAGCAGCTTTGTTTTTATGTTTTAATAGCGTAAAAATTTAAGAGATCAAAGCATGGATCTTGTGTGGAGAGAAACTAACCACTAAACTGAATCCACTTCCGTACGATAGAATAAATCTATTTTTGTTGGTTCGCTATTGTCTGGACAAGACTTGCATGAAAAAAACATTTTCCAATCATTATCCAGAAAAGTCACAAACTACCACTTGTGTGAAGCATTAATAAGGACGTTGAACTCCGGGTACAGCTGGACATTTATGGTGGTAGCTGAATACATGAACAATACAAAGAAATGTCAAAACGCAAACTTTCCTGTGTGAAACTAACCGAAACTGTCCAGTTGTTTGATTAGACTTTAGAAGCGTTTACTGGTTTTATGCATTAGCAGTTACAACGTACTTACTTTGTCAGTGGGAAACGTAAATACTGCGTGGACAGACGGAAAATCGTTGACCCACTTAGTACAATAGGCCAATAAATCTTCTTGTTTTGACAAAAAAGGTTTTTGTTGTAGGTGAGCCGACTTGACTATTGATTCTCAGTTAAGTACACCTTTGGTCCACATACAATTCCTATTGGCGTAACGTGAACAGTAGGCATTCAGTTTTATTGAATATTTTACTAGTATTTATTCCATTTTCATTTTATGTCGCCCTGTTTTGTTTCATTTAACTACTGAGTATCTAAAAGTATTATGTTTGTGACCACTTGCTATAATTTTTTTTCCTTAGAGAAACATTGTTTCGGATTAGGAATAGGTTTATTTCCTGCTTACAATAATTTATGTCGTAGTCACACCTAACTTATGACTTAAGTATAGTAGTAAACTTCAATTGTTATTACTCACGTGTCTAATTTAGCGAGACATTTTTCTATAAGCATGCTAAGGTTGAATACGTAAAGTTGACATCATGCATAGATTCCAAATGATTGAACACACACCCGGCGGATGATGATAAAATCTGTTAATAAAAATTACTTTCTGTACCAACGATCCGAACATAAAACATAACATTTCCTCTCTCCATCAAATGAGATTAGAACTCAAGGTTAATGAAACAAAGACAAGTAAACTACACAAATCGTTTGCATAATCTGGAAAATCCCATTCGATATCTGGTCCATGAAATGGGATTGTTGTAAGAAATGTCGTTCGGGCACCCGTTAGGTACTTAGTAGGTTTATTAAATACAACGGCTAAATGTAAATCTTATGTAATGCTTATGAATCCTATTGAATAAGGCAATAAAAATAATATATTTATAACAACGATAAATTTTCTCTGACAAAGTACAAAGGCATGTCAGCCATGTCAGGTCATTTGATGCGATTAATTTATAGTAGCTACGTGCACTTACATCTTGGTTGGCACGCGTCAAATCATTCCACGTTTTAAATTCAGATGTGAATAATTATAGTTTTTGACTTTTATCTTAATTTATGTAAAATGTTACGGATAATTCTCGACGTTTTGGAACACGGTTTTTTGAAGTAATTAAATTTTAAAAAATAATGTCATTCGTTTTAAGTGAGTTAAAATAAAAATAGGTACCTTATACTATAGTGAAATTCTGATTAATTACAAGGTACACTAAACTGGTTTGATATGAAAGCAAAATTCATTCAAATTCATGACTAGATAATGTATTTTTATGAGTAAGATACCAAATCCACAAGTAGCGGGGCCAATTCAAATGTTGATAATATTAATTTAGAGTTTTATTAAAAATGTGAAATTTATTGTTTATCCTATTACAGTGGTTACGATAACGCTTGCCCGGCCTTCACGCTCCACACTAATCGCGATCCATGCAGCGCGGGCGCACGCTGTCTGACCTGTTATTTAATGTTTACATTGACGACAGTTTCCAATTATAATTAGTTCTTTTTATCGTCGTTAGTGTACATTTTTATTGTAATTAATGCAAATAATATAATGAAACAAAGTACGTAGTCACGTAACAAATGTAAAAAGTAGCGAATGTAGGAAAGAAAGAGAGAGGGAATAGATTAGTCATTGTTTGGACAGAAAATTCTATTTGAAGCATAAAGGGCTTAGCAGAATATCTCTATTTAAATTGACTAGTGAACGTAGTAACACTGCGTAATTTCTTATAGGTAAACTTCGTAATTTGTTCAATGGAAACTGGGCTGGTCTAGTTCTTCAACTTTCTACAGAAGTACGTAGGTGGCGCCCGACAGTCGACATTTAGAGACTTGTTGATCGGCGACAGCTTAATGGTATAACAGATAGCTTCCTATACTTTGAGATATAAACTTTGCGAATGTCCAAACAGTAATGTATTCAAAGCAATGCTAATGACTATTTGTTAGTCAAAACCTAAAAAAAGGTTATGACATCAGCACTGAGCATTGCTATTGTTTTTTTTTTCACACAGAGTCCTGGGATTCGCTTTCTATCATCGATAGGCAAGGCACTACTAACAAGCAACACAAACATGACGAAAGTGCCTCCGTTGCGCCACACGTGTGGGATGCGCAGGCGCCGTTCTGCCGTCGGTTCTAGTGTAGACGGCTTAAGGGTCCCATTCATTTCGCATTAAGCAATTTGGTGAACGCACAGTGTTTACCGGTTCATTCATGCGATTGTGCAATTGTTGATACGTGATTTATACCTACTGCACACATTAAACACTGACGGTTGCCGCACAAATATCCGATTACTGTGGATACTGTGGTTTTTATTTTGGCTGTACCGCTGACAACATGCTGGGCCGATTTCGGCTTATTGATACAAGGTTAAAGGAAATTCACACCGAATCGTATTTAGATACCTACGATAATATTGCATTATAATTAGAATCCACAGGAAACACAGATATCGACTGAATTTATTAAATGTCCTGTTTTAGATGTATGTATTTAAAACGATCGTGATGCCATGACTCAGCGACGAGAAGTCGTCTGCTTATGTCTTTACCTACTTTCAGATGCTGATAGATTATAACGATCTCTCTCCTACTCGCCTATTATAGATATATCTGTCACTCTCTAGCTCAACTAACACTTCACGTGTTTGCTGGCTCGCCTACACGACGTCATCTGTTAATTTAATTACTTCTACTTTATACCATTTACTTACAAATGTTCTTATTTCTTCATAATGCTCGTTTTCACTCTCATAACTACCTATGATGCGGGTTTTTTTATGTCATGTAAAAAGATTCCCCTTCATGAAGGGAATAAGACCCCCACAGAGGTAAATTTTAAATTCCTAGAAAGACGTTTGTGTTAAGCACCGTTCTGAATGTATTAATAGATATAGACCATGCTGTTACCCGACGAAATGTTATCTGAATTGAATACTTTAAACATGAGAACGTTTTAATTCATAGATATTTGCCTTGTGGAATGTGTCACCAATAGTGTTGTTAGAAATGAGCTCCGAGGCCGAAACTCGAGTTCCGAGTCGAAGCTACCAAGTCTTCAAGACTCGAGCTTTGAGGGCTCGTAAGCCTTAAAGGCTCGAGCTCTAAAGGCTCGAACCTTGAAGGCTCACTAGCCTTATATGAAGGACTCGAGTCGAAGCTCGAGCTTTATTTATATGCCAGGTAATATTAAAATGAAATATTTTTGTTTTAATGCGGTAAGTACATATAAATAAAATAAAAAGACAGAAAAAAGAAAACTATATTAAACAATGAATTATTATTTGATTTTTAACCATGACGATAAGCACATTGATGCCTGGATGTTTTTGTTGTTCAGACTGTTTCTTTTTTTTGTTATTAAATTACCAGATTTTGAAAAGGCTTGCTCACTAGGAACGCTTGTCGCTGGTATAGATAAAACTTCGAATGCTATATCAGCTAAGGTTGACAACGACAATTCTTTTTGTTTTTTCCACCACATTAATACATTTGTGTTTTCAGGCTCAATAGGCATATTTATGTATCTATCCACTTCAACTGCGATATTTCTAGTCTCCGGTTGCTTGTACACAGATGCAAATAAACTTTTTTTAACTGGGTTAACTTCACTAGAGCTACCTCGTTCATAATTATGTGTTGACAAATTGTCTCCTCTCAATCTTCTATATATATAAAATTCAAAGGTGACTGACTGACTGACTGACTGACATAGTGATCTATCAACGCACAGCCCAAACCATTGGACGGATCAGGCTGAAATTTGGCATGCAGATAGATATTATGACGTAGGCATCCGCTAAGAAAGGATTTTGATCATTTCACCCCCAAGGGGGTAAAATAGGGGGTGAAAGTTTATATGAAACTTTGTCAATTTTAAACCGATCGGGTTGAAATTTAGCGTGTCGGTAGATATTATGACTTAAACATCTCCTAAGAAAGAATTTTGATCATTTTCATCCCCAAGGGGGTAAAATAGGGGGTGAAAGTTTGTATGAAACTTTGTCAATTTTATACCAATCGGGTTGAAATTCGGAGTGCCGGTAGATATTATGACGTAAACATCTTTTAAGAAAAGATTTTGATCATTTTCACCCCCAAGGGGGTAAAATAGGGGGTGAAAGTTTGTATGAAACTTTGTCAATTTTAAACCAATCGGGTTGAAATTCGGCGTGCCGGTAGATATTATGACGTAAGCATCTTTTAAGAAAGAATTTGATCATTTTCACCCCTGAGGGGGTAAAATAGGGGGTGAAAATTTGTATGAAACTTTGTCAATTTTAAACTGATCAGGTTGAAATTAGGCGTGCCGGTAGATATTATGACGTAGGCATCCCCAAGTAAGGATTTTGATCATTTCCACCCCAAAGTGGGTAAAATAGGGGGTGAAAGTTTGTATGATACTTTGCCAGTTTTGAACCGATCGGGCTGAGACTTTGCATGCATAAAGTTACTATGACATAGGTATTTCCTTAGAAATAATTTTGATAAATTCCACCCTAATGCGGATAAAATAGGGAATGAGAGTTTGTATAAATCTTCTTAGCTATTGAATCTAGAATCATTGAATCTTTTTGGATTACATTCGGTAAAACGATGATTTGGGACCTGGGTAACGTATGATAGTTTTTATCACAGAAATCCCACGGGAACGGGAACTATGCGTCAATGCCTCAGGACTCTCTATCTCTTAACCACTGAACTTATAGTTGATAGAATAGTTTTTATTACTCAAAACTTACGTGATCGGGCACTGTACTGGTAAGATCCCTGCGGGATTATTGATTTATTGAAACTACGATAACTCATACCCATTTCACAATAGGTAAATCTTACTTGGGCACTGATTGGACAATTGATTCTGATGAATTCTGTCAGAAGTCATTAATCTACGCGGACGAAGTCGCGGGCAACAGCTAGTTCTTGTATATTTTGATCTTTGAGCTGAGGGTTTTTAAGTTGAGTAATGGTTGAGTATTGTTCTTTGCTATAAAATAATTGTTATTAAGTCGCGGGTCTAATAGAACGGCAAGTTGTGCCAAATCATTGTTTAAAATCTCAGAGTACTCATTCAATTTTTCGATCATGGCTGTCGCACAATTTTTCATTGTTCCATCTTCTTGTTTGTTAAGATGCTCTGTTAAAACATCAAGTATCGGCACCACATAGTACAAACTTGGATAATTGTGTTTTGAAAGCATAACAGTAGCTTCGTAAAATGGTTGAAGAAAATCTACCAATGCTTCTACGATCTCCCAATTTTCTATAGTGTATGGAGAAAATTCTGTGTATTCCAAACACATATAATTAAGTACTCTTTTCATTTTTAAAGCTCTTTCCAACATCATATAAGTAGAGTTCCACCGGATAGGCATTTCTTTTATCAAGTTGAGATGAGAAATGCTTAAGGCGGTACAACATTCCTCATATAATTGTTTTTTCTTAGCAGAAAAAGTTATAAATTTTACTATTTTTTGTACCGGCACAATAATTTCTTTCGCTTCTTCTACACCTTTCTTTACTACCAGATTTAATACATGAGCCATGCATCTTAAATGAGTAATATCCTTAAATTCTTCATTAAACAAAGTTAGCAGTTGAAGCGTTTTAATATTTGTTGCATCGTTATCTGTTGTAATTGAAATTAATTTACCTTGCAAGCCAAATTCCTGAACAATGCTTTTTACTATCTGTCAAACACCAAGCAGTCACCGGTGACCGCGACCTATTGTTCTTTAATTGTGTCTATAAAACCGGTACTCGACGAGTTAAAAACAATTTGCTCGCTTTTGTGAGGAAACAGTATGAGATCAAATTCCAAAGTCATAGAATCCCCCAATATTAGATGTGTAGTGGGCAGTTACAACTATATATGGTTTGTTGGTTATAGATGTCCAAAAATCAAATGTCAAAGCGATCTTCTGCTTCAAGTTTTTGAACATATTTATTATTTGTTGCTTTTTCTCTTTGTATAATTCTTGTATGGAAGATGTAATTTGAAATCTACTTGGTAAACGATACGTATTATTAAGTGCTGATAAAAATGATTGAAACTCCTGTTCTTCTACTATTCGGAAAGGATGCTGGCCTTGTATAATAAACTTTATCAAAAGGTCATTAATGTCCACTTGTTGATTTTTATGTTTTAAGGACCCAGCCTTTTCGTTTTGTTCACTCTGTATAAAATCAACATCACCATGGTGCGATTGATGCCTTTTCAAAATGGAGTGCGATGTTTTTATAGAAAATGTATGACGGCATACCTTGCACAACAATTTGTTGGATTCTTTCTTAAAATGACACCATTTCCAACTAATACGCGGCTTTTTCAACAACATAGAAGATATGAAAGCATTATTTTCTGTAAGCGAAGTATCAGTAGTATCAAACTCGATATCTTCCGATGTTATATTATCTTCTTCGTTCATTTTGTAGATCTAACGATCTTTCACCAGTGACAACTATTATAAAAACTATATTATTAATTATAAACCAAGCAAACTGCACACTGATTTTGACGCGAATGACGTATAGAAGTAATTATTACAATAATATTAATAGTTACGTGGGTAGTTTTAATAACTAGCGTAATATCGCTAGCTGAATTATCGCGTTATTGTAATAAAAATTTGTGTTATAATTTAGTTTTATACAATGAAATTAGTTAATGAAATTAGTTAAGTACGGTCGTCGGGAGATCTGAGACTTGAGATGCCCCAGCATGAGAGTAAATCCTACGACAAATCGTTTACAGTTCGAGCTATTCGACTGTGGAATGCACTTCCCCCTTCCATAAAACAAGCAAAGTCACTGGTCACGTTCAAGGCACGCGTGAGGGAGCATTATCTCTCCACACTGTAGTTCATTGTTGTTTCTTCACCTAGTGTCACCTATCTGTCATTGTATCTTGTTTCTAAATGTACTTATGTATGTATTAGTATATGTATATATGTATGAATGTATGTAGGTATGTATGTATGTATGTATGTATGTATGTATGTATGTATGTATGTGTGTGTATGTATGTATATAATTCTATATTAAAAGTAAATAAATTTGTTTTTTTAATGTTTACTCTTTTACATTATATAAATAAGCACTGAGTACGCCAAGCTATAACTACCTCATTTAATATCCTACTTTATTATTCTATCCACCCAAAGGTTGCCTGGTAGATATCGCTTTTAGCGATAAGGCCGCCTTTGTACCCTATTTTCTTTATTTGTTCCTTGATGTACTGTCTCAAATTGGTGTACAATAAAGATTATTTATTATTATTATTATTTTTGTGTTTTAGGTAAGAACCTCACCCATTTCTGGGGAAATACACCAGAGTTGCGGGCTTGTGGCCAAAGCAACCTTGGAGATGATGATTTTATAATAATTAATCAATAGATAAAAACTTCCTGACAATTCGGCATGTGTTAAGTATGACAGCTTTTTGTAGAAGTGTGAATGTAAGTGGATGTAAGTCAAGGGACTTTAGACTTGTATGAAGTGTTTTGGGGATGACGCCTGTACTAGATATAATAATAGGAACTGTTTTGACTGTGTGGACTTGCCACTGGGTTTTAAGTTCAATAGTCAAGTCTGCATATTTGGAAAGTTTGTTAGTATGGGTGGAACTGAGATTATGTGTGTTGGGGATCGCTATGTCTATTAGGTATACTGTTTTGTTTTTCTTGTCGTGAAGCGTGATGTCAGGCCGGTTGTGATGAATGGTCTTATCGGTGAGTATGGTTCTGTCCCAGTACATTTTAAATTCAGGTGAATCTAGGATGATTTGGGGTGTATACTTGTAGTATGGTGCTTTTTCTGCGATGAGTTTGTGTTTGTGTGCAAGTGCTTGGTGTATGATAGCTGCAACCTGGTCGTGTCTGTGTTTGTAGTCTGTTTGTGTGATGGATGAGCATGCGCCTGTAATGTGTTGAATTGTTTCTGGTTGTCTGTGGCAGTGCCTGCAATGGTCACTGCCAAGGGTACTGTCTCGGATTATATATTTCCTATAATTTTTGGTGTCTATGACTTGATCTTGGATCGCTAACATAAAGCCTTCTGTTTCTGGAAACAGCTCGCCTCGCTTTAA